CTTAGTAATAGTTAATAATTTTTTGAACAAAAATTGGATATAAATCAAATGCTTATATAATTGCAAGTGAAATAAACGGGCATAAGTCCAGAATCCGGCAAAAAATTTCGTTATTTAATAAAAAATTATTTGTTATTGTGCCTCGATTCAAAATTTACGCAAATTTAAGGAAAGAAATGTTTTAAACTTATTTTTTGTAAGAAAACACATCATGAACATTACTTAAGGTGCTTTAAATTTTCATATGAGGTATTCTCAATCTTACTTTACTAGCTAAAACAATAGTGAATTTTATTTTAGATTAAGTTTCCTTCGCACAGGTTTAACAATTTAAACTGAATATTTAAATTGCCACAAATTGTAAATGAATTATTTCGATAAAACTCTTGTTTAATCTTCTTCTAGCAAGAATTATGTCATGATGTTTTTTTCCCCAAAAATCCATGAAACATTGCTTATTTTTACGATTCTTTAAAGCTTCTATCTGATTATTCAATTTTATTGGCGTCAAAGATGAGTGAAACAAATGATTACATTACGTAGAGCAAACAATCGTGGATTAGAAAGAAAAAAAAAGTACTTTCATTTTCACTCTAGACTTGCTTGCTAAAAATTAAAATTGCACTGGAACCAATCAACGTTTCAACATTCTAATTTGAGCTGAGTAAACGGTTCGAAAAAAATGGCCAAACCTTATAATTGAGACAGACTGAAAAACCTAGCTATTGAATTAATTGGTGTTGAAGTCAAGTGAAACGAACTGTTGTGTTATTTAAAGCAGACGATTATAAAAAGTGAAAAGACTTCTAAAAATATTAAAAAGTTATTTTTTACTTTCCCTAAATTATCTTAAAAGAAAAAAAGGCAGAAAAAGCAACCAATAGATATTTTAATATTCTAAACTGTAAAGAAAAGCGGTTTAGAAAAAAATGCTATATTTAATAAAGAATGAAGAGCTATTACTTAGGTTCGAGTGCACCCAATATACAAATTCCATTTGACATCTAATTCATTCGAACTTAAAGGTTATCGCCAAACTTGCTGAACAAGTGTTTGTTCTTCTAGAAATAAAGAAATATCAATAAAAATATAACTGCCTCATCATTCAGTTGAGCTCCTAACCTCGTTACGAAGATTATCCAGGCTAGTTTTTCCGCCTTCTCAGTTTCAAGTTCGAGAAATTCTCGCTGTTTTTTGGTGGGATTTTCTCGCATTTTCCTTTTTAAAATAAGGAAGTTATAATGTAAGTTTTAATTTTTCATTTTCTTTATCGGGTACATTGATCTCAAACCTGACTTGTTGCGACATTCGTATTTATATTTGGAAACATTCGGAGTGGGTATTTGGAAACATTTATTTCCTTTTAGAATTGCGAGAAATTATACTCGATTATTTTGAGCTCAAAAGGATCTGTTTGCATACGTAATCCACATAAACTTGTACCGAGAGAAATTGATTATCAACAATTTAAGAAATAGTTTTTGCATTGTTTAAAAACAGCTAAGAGTTCTTCGTTTTCTGAATTTTTTTAGACAAAAATAGATTTTTGATTTTATTTAACAATTGTCCTGTGCCCGTGACTGCTGATTGCCCGACCAAAACTCCTTACAAAAAAGTATAGTGATTATTAATAAATTTTTTTTTAAAGAAAATTGCAAAGAAATAATTTACATCTATATAAAAACTACTATTTTATATAAAAGGTCTTCAAAAATTCTACAAAATAAGAAAATGAGATTTTGTGCTTTGAAGAAAGAACCCGCAATAAATTTTGTCCCGTGACTTTGTTCAGTCTTCTTATTTAATAAATTTAAATAAATAAATAATCTATATTGACTTCTTTATTTTGCTATTTATGCCTCACTTAACAAAATGTGATGGGGTTTACACATTTACTTGAACTTAGAACACAAATTCCTACTATTCATGTGTTTTAAAATGTAATAAAAACAAAATACGTTTAAAAAATTCAAGTTTTAAATAGCCTGTCTGTTATAGTCTAAAAATATTTTTTTAACGTAACATTATCAATTTCAGCTTCTTAAAATGTTTGAAAATGTATTTGCAATTATTTGTATTAATATCTAAAGCAGGCGACTGCAAATGCAATTTAGGGTAAAAAAAATTTGTTTGACCTTATGTTTTTTGTTTATGCTTGCAGTACTTAAAAACCAAAGTACTTACTAAAAACCTAAAAGAGCATGCACTAGTAGAAATTCAAAATTCATTTAACTATGAGGATCGAACTATGCATTGTGCCTTGTGCACGAAGACTCTTTTTAATTTAAAGCGACTAAATAATGCTAATAAAAAATGTCAGCCTCTTTTAATTGTTGAAAGTTTTCTGTTCTTCATCAGCAAATCAATTCATGGCTTTGACTCTGTTTATAAAAAAAGGTAAAATTAAAAAAAAAAAAAAAACACTTGTTGTATATATACATAGATATTGAAATGTTTCTAAATTTATTTCCACAAAATGAGATTGCACAGTATGAGATAACAACAGTTTAAACTATAGAAGAAAAAAAAGAATGCACTTTTTACTGCATTATTACTATTATTGCTGACTACTTTTCATGGCGTCTCCGAATATGTCTTTGCAGAAATTGAAAACTTACAAATAAATTAATTTGTTCTTAGCTTATATTCTAGCTGTTGTTACATTAAATTACTTTTTTCTTCGTTGTATGGACAAAATAACGTATGTCCCATTCATAACAAAATATTATTTGACATTGTTAATATACAGGGTGTTTGATAATGACCATACCTAATGCAATTAATGTTCAGAGCCCTTGTCAAAAATGAAGTAAAAAAAATATTTAAGCTTGGGAGAAATAAAAATGATCCCGAAATCTATGGTATCAATAGTGAGGAAAATGGGATGAAAACATCAAAACCTGTTTGATTGCATGATGAAACTTTGTTATTCTTATGTCACCTTTCAATTTTATTTTGTTCTCTCATGCAATCCCACCGTTCCTGTGTATTGTACAATTGTTTAATAAAAATTATACAGATTTGTAAAGTGTCTATCTGAGAACAATACTAAGGAGCAGTTCGATGTAAAATATCACTTTTGGAAATAGTTTGGTTTATCATTATACTGTCTGCAGTCTTTTCATTAGTCCTATGTAAGGCATTACATAATTTTTAAACCAGAAAAATTACTCTTTTTTTATTCATTTTTTATTTATTTTTATTTCTTTATTTTTATTAGTGTGAACAAGTTGACATTAATTCCATCCCCTTTATATTTTTCGATTTTATTTTAAATTCAAAAGTTAAAAAAATGCTAATTATAAAAACAAATTTAGAATTTAGATAAAAACTCTAATCTTTAATTATTTATTTTTAATTCAATTGACAATTTTTTGAAGGTCACTTTTTAAATTTTCTGTAATTCGTTGAACTAAGGGACCCGATAGGGTTACTCAACGCAAAAATAAATATCTGCACTTATGATTTTAAAAAAAAAGAAAAAGAAAAACAGAACGATTCGGAATTGTGCAGAATTTAACTTTAATATGAATTCAATACAGACGATATGATACTCTGATTTTTTTTAAATTTTAATTCGCATAATTTAGTATTATCTCTATTTTTTCTTTAATTCAAACGAGGAATTAAATTTGTGATTCTGATTTTTAAAAAAAAGAGGATGGGGGGGGGGGGGACCGAATCTTTTACTTTAAAGAACTTTACTTAAAAATAAATCACATTCACAATTAGAAAAGAAACAAGATTTCAAAATGTTCAGAATTTGATGTTAATCGATGAATGATAAGGATGATTGATTACACTTTTTCTTTAAATTAATTAGAAAACTTTGTCATTAATTCTATCCTTACTTTCCGTTTTTTCCCCTTTTATACAAATACTAAAAAATGCTAATCGTTAACACAAATTTCAGATTGAGATAGAAAACAAACTTAATCTTCCATCGTAATAATAAATAATTTTTTAATGATATCTTTTCTAAGTATTTCTTGTTCATAAAATTAAGTATCTCAACGCAAAAATAAATATTTTTTTATAAATAAGCCAGAAATAATATTTTAAATGTTCTGAATCTAATTTTAATGGTCAATAAAAGAGTTTTCTATCGAATGTTAAAATAATTTGAAATGTAGAAACATTATCATTAAACCAAATTAAGAATTAAACAATAAAAAAGTTTTAATAAATGAGACGAATTTTTCATACAAATCTTAATTAAAAAGATTTGCCGACAGTCTCTTACAGCTCCATAGAATTTTTATCACTAAACACTTTTTTCTCCTCCAAGTTTTAAAATTATGAATGTAAAACTACCACGAGAAAGTATAATTTTTATTCTCTCTAGTTACTTAGATTTTCTTTAATTACTCTCAATTAAAAAAAGCCAATGTGTTCAATTCAAGTTCTAATAAAACTTCACTCAATAGTTAATGCAGTTTAATTATACCTAATTTTTAACTCTAATTTGTAATTATTAGTTCTTATTTTTAGTTATTATTATTTAGTAATATAATTAGTTGTTATTCAAACTGATCAATTTTAAGGGAGGACTTATAATTTAGATCAGAACCCACCAACTTTTCCCAGTATACAAAAAGGGTGTTTCTTGGATTTTCGAAACATTGAGAGTCGAAGTTTCCCGATGAGCTGTGAAAATCTAATTTATTTTGTATACTTTTTTGCTTGGACGGGCCCTTACGCTTGCGGCGCGACAGAATATTTGTCACGTAGAAACATTGACTTGTTGTTGTTGTTGTTGTTCATTTACGTCGCACTAGAGCTGCACAATGGGCTATTGGCGACGGTCTGGGAAACATCCCTGAGGATGATCCGAAGACATACCATCACAATTTTGATCCTCTGCAGAGGGGATGGCACCCCCGCTTCGGTAGCCCGACAAACCGTAGAAACATTGACAGAATATTAAAAGATTATTTATATGCATTTTGTCTAATTTTTTTCATGAATATTTAATATTTTTGGCAATGAAAACACCGCAACTAGCCAAAACGCGGATGAAAAATTTTCAAGTTCCAATTGAATAAGAGATCTAGTTCAGCTCGAATCGAGAGAAAGTAAACAAATCGTTCCTGCATCCTGACAGCGACGGCCGTAGTTTAATGACGCGGGAATGTCAATCTGTCAAACTTTGTTTGGTAAGAATGAAATGTTTACGTTTCATTAATATTTTGTATTTAATAGTGTTTTCCCACTCTGCTTTGTTTGCCTAATTCGTGAAATAATGAATTTCGTGTTAGTATGAAAGTCGGCCATTTTTTTAGCTTCGAAAAAAGGGATTTTGCGTTTACCTAATTTTGTGTTAGTGAGATAGAATTAATATTTGTTAACATTTTTCTATTAAATATACTGAACCATCTTTATCGAAATTGTGTGTACATTTTTCTATTAGAATTTTAATTCAATAGTTTTTTATCGTCACCCAATTTGTAACTTTGAATTAGTTTTGCTCAATATGTTGTTCTTTAATATTCCAATAGAATTGCATTATAGTCAATTTGCTTGCGTGTGAAACTCACGTTTTATGTGTTTTTCATATTTGTTTTTTTTTTTAATCTTTTTCGCAGCAGTATTTTTATTATAATGGAAACATTATTATTAACCCTTTAAAGTTTCATGGATGTCGAATTTACGGCCATTGAGAATTTTTTTTCCCTAGAGATTGTAATATTTATTTTTTAATGTTAAAATCCTAATTTTGAAAATTAAATCTTAAATTATTATACCTACTACGACAAATGAATAATTCATACCTATGTATATAAGATATACTAGTTAGGCAATTTTTCTACCTCATGTTAGTGAAATAGTTTAAATTTTAGATAAATTTTAATACCATAACTATTAAAAGACTACCACTTTAAAATCTTTCTCAACAACCGTACAAGTTGGCAGCTATGGAGTTACATTCATGTGCTTTTGTCGATAACGACAAACCTAGTGTTATTACTAGTTTTCTTATATTTAGGCAATGTACTGAAATGCTTGTATTTTCCTAACGAAGATATGTTTAATAGCAAAGAATTACTTCTATTATTCTTATACACGGTGCGTGGCGTTTTTAAAAAGTGCTTAAAGGTGCTTTTTTCATTGGGTGTTTATAAAAAAGTGCTTAATTTTCCCTTTATTTTCGCCACCTTGCCAAAAGACGCTGTTCACATTGTTCCATTTATTTCAATGTTTTCTTTTCACAATTCAACCCCAATCTATTTCGGCATACCGTCAGTCTTTAGCGTATGAAAACACCATTCGTTTTATGATTTAAAAATTTATTCATGATTTTTGACAATTGTCAAAAAATATGGCTGCAAAACTAACAAAACTAAAGTTTTTTTTTTGACATGACTGTTAAATCTGGATAAAATCGTCAATTGTCGAAAACTTGCCAACCCTGCCTAATTATATATTTTTTTAAAGTGCTTAAAAATATTTTTTAGTGCTTAAAAGGTGCTTATTTTTTATTGAAAAATTTGGCTACACACCCTATTTTAGAAAGCATAAACATTTAGTTATTATAAACTATCTTAATTCTATCTTCAATTGCAAAACAGCTCGGTGGTCCCTATCCTTCTGTAAAATTTTCTTCCTGGTAGCTCTTTTGTTGGCCATGGTTTTCCAATTATTCCCTCTCAGGACGGTGAAATCTCATTCTTGGCTGTGAACCCATTTGAGGTTGGGTCAGCCTTTAGCTCTCATTTCTGTGTGCTTCGTCAAAAATTTTTTTTGTGTTGATGATAATTCTTTGTTCATTCTAGTATCATGACCAGTCTATTTCATTTGGATTTTCATGTGTGTGATGAAGACTAGATTTGAGCGAAAAAACCAAAAGTCAATTTGTGTTCCATATAAATTGAAATATGCATTATACTCATTCAAACCCTGCTATAGTGAACCGAAATTTCGGTCCCTTGAAGGTTCACTATAGCAGGGTTTGAGTGGCTATAGTGAACCTTCAAGGGACCAAAATTTCGGTTCACTATAACCGGAAGTTCACTATATCCACACCACAAACAATTTTAACTAGTGGTTCTGAGCTCCTCCCTTTTATTACACATTATTTAAATAAATTACTAATGCAATGAAATACAAAAATGACTAAAAAGCAATATGTATTAACAAAAAATGTGTTAAATTTTATTTTTTATTACTCTTCGTCTTACTTGTGAAAAACTTAGGGATGGGAAATTGAAATAAAAGAAGCAAACAAGAAAAAAATGCTTACGGCTACATTCCACTCTGTAAATGGTTTTAAAAATAGTTATATGTATTATCTCTAAAAATTTCAAAATTACAAATTACCAAAAAATGAAGAAAAAAAATCAGCCGAAATCAATATTTTGTGAAGGGTCCGTTAACAGACCCAAATTTATTTTAAACAGACCCCTGATATTATACAGGGTGTTTATAAAGTCCCGGACCCATTTTGATGTTTAATAGCTCATAAAATAATAAAGATAGATTAAAATTAATAACATAAATGGTTAGATAGACTCAAAAAGTTTCATGACCCTTGTCAATGAACTTCCACGTGTGCCCCCTTCTTTTTTAGAGGTTTACAACAGATATGGTAGGAAGGATAGAAGATGGTGCAGATTTTCTGAAGCGCAAAATGTTCTCCGACGAAGCATCCTTTCATGTTTCTGGCATTGTTAATTGCCTTAATATGCGCATATGGGGGAAAAAAACCCATGAATACCGTGAGATAAATAGATTCCCCAATGGTTAATGTGTGGTGTGGACTAATGCACGACCGAGTCATTGGGCCTTTCTTTTTTATAGAAAAGACGGTCTCATCAGTCGTATAATTAGACATGTTGGAAAACTTCGTGTTTCCACAACTAGAAGAGCTTCACCCACATGTCTTTTTTCAACAAGATGGTGCACCACCTCATTGGGGTATCATCGTTCGTAGTTCTTTGAATAACCATTTTTTAGGAAGATGAATTGGGCGAGGAAGTCCAATTCCTTGACCACTCAGATCACCTGATATAACACTGCTGGACTTTTTTGGGGGGGGGATTTATAAAGAACAATGTTTACAATAAGATCGTGTCGAACATTGATGACCTAAAAGCCAGAATTACAACCGCAATAGCCTCTGTGGATGCCGACATGCTTGCCACTACCTGGCGTGAAATTGACTATCCACTTGATATTCTCCGTGCGACGAAGGGGCACATGTGGAAGTTCATTTGCAAGGGTCATGAAACTTTTTTAGTCTATGCAACCATTTATGTTATTAATTTAAATCTATCTTTATTATTTTATGAGTTATTAAACATCAAAATAGGTTCGTTACTTTATACACACCCTGTATTACTCGAGGAAATATGAGTTTGTCACCTTTAGTTTCTCGCATGTCACTTCTCCCTAGAGTCGCTAAAAATGTAAATTTTTTATTACATTTTAGGTACTGATAAGGAAATATTTCTGTTTCTGTTAATCATTTTTGTCAAATGCTATTTGTAAACTAAATATTTTTCATTTTCTTTTAGGTCAATGACTGATTAAAGATCTTATGGCCGTGAAATTAACATAGTACAAAAATGACTGGTGCCAATGATTCAGGATTATCTCCTGAAAGTGATAAAGCCTGTGCATATTCAATATCTTCTAGTAAAAGCCAACTATTTTTGGTAAAGGGTGATATTGGTTTCGAAGATACCACTTCAAAAGCAAATGGCTCTATCAATTCCGTGAGTGAACTATCAGACAGTTTCACTGGAACAGACAAATTGTGTGGCTGGGCCAATTTCCGTCCATTGTGTTTACAGAATTGCAGAACTCCTCGGTGGTTCCTCTTCTGGATATGTTGGGCAGGAGCTCTTCAAGGACTTATTGTAAACGGTTTTATAAATGTAGTCATTACGACAATAGAAAAAAGATACGAGTTAAAAAGTACTGAAACTGGCTTTATAGCCGGCTCTTACGATATAGCATCATTTCTTTGTTTAATTCCTATTACATATTTAGGTGGCACGCGTAGCAAGCCATTTTTTTTAGGAAGTGGACTTATTCTTTTGTCATTCGGATCTTTAGTGTTTTCCTTGCCATATTTTCTCGCTGGTACTTATACGTTTAGCCAAGAGCAGGATTTCCATTGCCATTCTGGACTTCAAAGTGCTAATTATACAGCAGTCTGTTCTGTAGCAGAATCTTCTCTATCAAGCTATAAATATATATTTTTCATTGGCCAATTGTTGCATGGAGCTGGTGCTGTTCCACTGTATACTTTAGGATGCACTTATCTGGAAGAAAATGTGTCTACTAAAATGTCATCGATGTATTTAGGTTTGTGATATTTTGTTGCTAAACTGAAATTTGATATATTGCATGTTTACTACTATAAATTTATTTTTATCATGGTGCATAGCATTTTTAAAAAGTGCTTATTTTCAATTTTCGTTTTTTAAAATCCTTAAAAGTGCTTTTTTCATTGGGTGTTTTTAAAAAGTGCTTAATTTTCCTTTTTCAAAAATTAGATTTTTTTATTTACCATGTCAATTTCAGCCACGTATGCAAAAGTGTGGTTTTCACATTGTTCTATTCAACGTTTTCACAATTCAATCTGACACAATGCATACCGGCGTACCCACGGTCCGTAGCGTATGAAGGCGACAATCATTTTACATGTTTGATGAAATACTTGCGGATCAGCATTTGCGTATACTGAGCTGGGTTCGGTGAGATTCTTGCACTCTTATGTGCAACTGGCAAAAGATTCCCAATTGTAGGCTTCATTTTCTACCCTCTGAAATCGAACCGAAAAATCCTTCCATCTTTTTATGGTGGTGTATGAAATCAAGAAAAGAGTTTTTTTTTTTAATTTTTTATCAGAAACTTAGTTATTTTATCACAATCATGTAAAGTCTTTGAAAACTATTTTGCATTTTGTTAATGTATCTAGTGCTTAAAAATATTTTTTTAGTGCTTAAAAGGTGCTTATTTTTTGTTGAAAGATTTGGCTACGCACCCTGTTTATGCAGTTTCTGAATTTTACTGTGTATTAACCCCTTCAGGACCAGCAGAGGGAAAAAGAAATGCTTCTTAGGCTTGCAAGCTATGAGTTTATACAAACTAAAGATTACTTTTAGGTTGTGTAATATGCGAGTCAGTCTTGTATTGAGATAATGTCTGGATTCTTGGGCCATTAGAGTTACGGTTGAAGTTGGGTAAATCAAATCATTAAAGGGTAATTTGGTAAACTAATGTTTCGATTCAAACTAGTTAACCAATTTCATTTATTATATTATTTGGAATTTAATCTTGTTGATACTTAAATGGTTTTTATAAAGTTATATATTTTCTTTTTTTTCTTTTTTTAAGATAGCTTAAATTGTTTTTGTATGTGAAGTTACTAATAAATATACAGACATTTTATACATATTATTCCATTAAAATTCTAAGACTTTTTTAATGCTTTTGTAAAAATGATTTAAAGAATATTGTTTTTGAAAATTCAGCAATTTTTTATTTCCTATCATTAAGTAAAAGGAATTATAATTAAAAACAACCAATATTGAGTGTTATTTAATCTGTAAAGTAATTTGAATCTGGTTTATAATAATTTGAAACTGATCACTACTCTACATCATTTCACACCATTAATATTCACAGTAGAGTTTGATACTAGTTCAGTGGTTTGAATCTGAATAGCCATTGATTCGAATTATATAAGAATCTCCTAATTTTAATTAGTTTCAAGATCACTGAATTATCTAACTCTTCTATATTGCAAACTAGTGCTCCACAACTTTTTAAATTATGCATTTTTTAATCTTGCTTATAATGCTTTGTGTTAATCTCTAATAAAAAGGTTTGGTTCTTGAGAGAGTAAAACATTTAACTCAGCAAAGCATCACATTTCAATGAATTGTATAATATAGTCTTACTAGTAATTACGGTAAAAGAAATACACATATTTTTTATAGAATTTGAAAAGTTTTATATTTTGCATGGTCATGTAAACTATTTGCTCGATCCGTAACAAGAAAATATTTATGCATCCTTCCTAAGTAAAGATAATTAGTGATAGTTTCAACTAAGCTCTTGATTATTTTGCTAAGAATAATCAATCCGAGTATTTTAAATGTTTTAACTGGAAATCAAGTTGCGACTACTGAGGTGTTTTCGTATCAGTCTATATTTTGATGATTATATGTAAATAAAAAATATACAAAAGAAATAAAGAAAAAGTTGAAAGCCAGTGTTGAAGTTCCAAAAATAAAATATTGTTCATTAGTTTGAAATCTAGTTATTATTTTATGTTTTCTTTCATAAAATATAGTTTTACATTTTTCAAAAATGTATTTTAAAATAAATCTTGCAGAGTTTAAAAATCATTAAAACAATTAAATTTTATGATATTCTGTGCTTTAGTAAATTCTCTCTTAACAAAATTTTATATTTTGTTATCTATATAAATAATAAGTTTTTATTATGAAAATAGGCATTTTTTACACCATGGCTATTGTCGGACCTGCTTTGGGATATCTTCTTGGCGGACAAATGTTGAGATTATATGTCGATTTTGGCATTGATGCTAATGAGTAAGTTCTGAGGATTTCATTTATTCAATTTCTTAAAATTAATAAAAGCATGTATATTGTTGCTGCAAACAATATGCATGCTTACTACAATTCAAATAAAGATTTTTTAAGTTTTATTTTTTATTTGTATATTTTTCTCTTTAAAAACAGTCTCTTTAAAAATCGAGAATGAGTTGATGTTCTATACTTACAATCAACAATTTATTTTTAAACTTTGAAATTCAAGTGTTTTTAAAATCTAACTTTACATGTTTCTTTTTTACTAAGTTTATACTGTCTTACAATTATGTGATGAGCTGTCGAATTATAATTTGTTTTTAGTTGTAGAAAAAATACTCATCTGCTCTATCTATATTTACACTAGCATCCTACAAAGTTTGACTCAAATTCAATAATAATCACTCAAATTAATGGATTAAGATAATTTTATTCAAGCATAGTGGTTCAGTGGTAAACGTAAACTGAAGAGAGGAAAAGTAGAAAAAAAATAATAAATTGCTTGCGCGCAGCGCCATCTGGTGTTATAAATCTTAATTAATAGTAAAATTATTATTCAGTCTTATTAACAAAGCTAATTTTTGGCTATGAAATAATTGTATCTCTGTTCTTTCCTCGGTCGTCGAGCTACCAAAGCAGCGAGCTCTCATTGTTTCGAAAATCCAAGAATTTCCAAGCGTCTTCCGAGGATCAAAATTGTGATGGCATGCCTTCAGATCATCCTCAGTTATGTTTCCCAGATTGTCGCCAATAGCCCATTGTGCAGCTCTAGTGCGACGTAAATAAAGTACCTACCTACCTACCTGTTCTTTCTTCCAACACCAAAATTTTTTTATCTGTCTATTGTTATTGCTTGGCCATCGCTTCTCCATCTCATCTTTTGGATTGCATTGGTGCCTCTGTGAGGCAACTGATGAGTGATGGAGAGACTGTCTATAATTTGCTGATGTGACAGGATCTTCTGGACTTGGTCTAGGGCTCTAGACCAAGGGGATAAGCAACAACAACACATTTTATCTGTTTTTACTAGTTATCTTTGGAAGATATTTTTCTATTATTAGTTCTGAAAATTCACCAACTGAGCTGGGTTTTAAAATTTGTCTCACTTATATACATTGTTTCTTTGCAGTATGTTTTTGATTTGCACCAATGTTTTTTATATTTTAAAAATTTGTATCTATGTATTNATTTATTAAATATTTTTTTTGAATAAAATCTTTTCTTTTTATATTTTAGGTTAGGTTTATCACCATCAAGTACTGTTTGGGTTGGAGCCTGGTGGATAGGCTTTGTGTTTGCAGCAGTATTAGGATTGCTTATTGCTATACCCGTTCTTGCTTTTCCTAAAACATTACCATGTAAGTTTTAAACTTAATTTTTTTTAAATTAAGGAGCAAAAATCAAATATTTCATTAGACATATTATATATATTGTAATATATGCATAATTTCTGTTCTGTTTGAAAACTAAATTAGTTTAGTTTTTAACTAAATTTGTTGTTTTAAAAGGAAAAACTTAATTTTATAGTTTTTTTTTAACAATCAAACTTGTTTAGTACCCGCACCTGCATTATCTATTTTTTAGGCTGCGAATAACAAGCAAAAACGGATTTGTGTTGTAAGATTGCATTAAAGTTTTAAATTCTCAAATCAAATTTAGAGTTGACAGTTAAGTTATTTTACTTTTTAATGAGTCAAAATTGAATTCAGTTCCAAATAGAATGAAATTGCTTTCCTGTAAAACAAGTTTGTCTTGTAATTCAATATTAAAACAATTTGTTGCAACAACAAAAAAACAAAAAACACATACAAATTACCTTCTATGATTTGTTTAGATGTATTTTAGGTGGCAATAATTTAGTTATAGGAATTTGTAATGAAATGTTTTGCACGGTATTTCCTTTATATTCATAAATAAATTATAAATTTTTAGCTACAGATAAAGTGAAAGCTGGTAAAATCAGTGAAATGCATCAAAAACTTCAGGAAAGTGATGCAGCTCGAGTAGATTTTGGATCCAGTTTTTCGGATTTACCTTCTTCATTGAAACTTTTGATTACAAACCCAACATTTGTATTCCTAAGTCTAGCTGGTGCAAGTGAAGGTATTATATGAATTTTTTTTATTTATTTTTTTAAGTAGTGTAGGTTTTTTTTTGTAATAGTTTTACTTTTTGATGATTTTAATTGTATGTGAATGTAATTAATAAAAATGAAACATTATTGCTAAAATTTCTTAGTCTCAAAAGTTTAGTTTCAAGGTATTACTCATTCAAGGGGTACATTGTAAGAAGTTTCTTTCAATAACATTAATATTAAAGTATAAAATTATTGTGCTCTGATTCATACTGTTACTTTTTCTTCATAAATCCACCCCATATATGGGTGTTTCTCACAAAACATGACAATTCAGTCCCTTGCTCCAAGATCTAATACTATAATACTAAAAGAACTTTTTTTTTTAAAAAATTAATAAGTTGCATTGCTGTTAACATTTTAAAATGACTTGGCACTAGCATTGACTGTTTTGTATGGTTAAAAAATTTAATTGAACTTCAAAATGTCATTTTCCTGGCATGTCCCAAACAATGTTTCCAATAATAACTAGCTTCAAAACTTCCCATAAATTTTTCAATATATAATTTTTTTTATCTCAACCAGTGTAAGCATTTCTAGAATATATGCAGAGGGTATTATTTACAAAAACTTCGTTTAAAAAAAAATTTTCTGTCAATAATTTGTTTGTCCCAAGAAAATCTGTCATTTTCCTGACTACTTTATTTAGTGGTTTATAACCAAAATAGATAGAGCCAGCAATCAATATCTTATGTTAATAGATTGATTAGATACCCTCCTATATGAACATGTCTTGTTGCATGAATAAAGAACCAATTTTCTGGTTCAAAATCTATTTCAAAAAATTTTTCAAGATGAGTAGGTTTTTGTGTTGTCATTTTCCTGGCTTCTTGAAATTATTAATAACATAAACTACATAGATTTATCTGAGTTATTTTAAGAAATCCTGTTGTTTTCGGCAGAATGTAAACGTCTTAGACCAAAATATTAAATTGAAGTAAAGTTATATGCTATAAAATGGCGATTTTGTCATTATCCTGGCTGTCATTTTCCTGGCTTATGAATTCCAAGACATTGAAGTGTTACCAGAAATTTTTTTTAACTGCTAATACTGTAAGGAGGAAAAACAAATATTAACCTAATACCAAGTTTATGTATGATTGTAATATGGTTGTATGAAATCAAAGTTATTTATTTATTTAATGATTGATTATTATACCCAATTTTATTCTATACATATCAGCAACAAAAAATTTGATTCTTTCTACAGTGGATAAAAAGAATTAATTTAAGCAATTTATAGTCCATCTAACATGAAGGCTTAAGTTGAGTTACTTACTATTAACTTAAACAGACTGTTTTTTAAACTTCTAAGCTAATATGTCATTTTCCTGGCATTCAAGATTTGGTGAATTTCTATTTTATTTTTTCTCTCGAGCAAATGTCAATAACTACACTGCTGTCTGAAAGATATTAATAAATGTAACTAAAAAAGTATACAAAAAAATTTTTTAGATTATTTTGAAGATTTTAAATTTGAAGAAATTTTTTGGTCCGAAATGTCATGTTTAAAAGGAATCGCCCATATATATTTGTATTTGATACAAGTGTATAATGCTTTTTACTAACAGAGATTAAATTCTGTTTTTTTCCCCTGGTATAAAATATACTCTAGTACACAGTGCCATGTATGCACTTTACGAAATATACTCTATTGCAAAATGTTGTTATGTATTTCAATATATATGTACTATATTCTACACTTTTGCATAAATTTTAAACATTTGAAAACAATGCTTTACAGATTTGTGTCTAATAAATATTAGCCCATGTATGGATTTACATTACAAACTCAGAATATCAGAAATTTTGCATTTTAATTGATGTTATCTAATGTTGCTTACGGAAGTCTTTACAAATATGTTTCTTTTTTCTTTTTATATATATTTTTTGTGCTCATTTATGTTTAATTTGAATATATCTGTTTAGGTATTTTACTTGCTGGTCTAGCAACATTCTTGCCTAAATTAATTGAATCACAATTCAGTTACCAAGCTAGTTTTGCTGCTTTTATTGTTGGTAAGTTAATAAAAAAAAAAATTTTGTCCAAATTATTTTCCACACCTTATAATTTGATTATGACTCTGTATGTACGTTATAGTTGTACCTTGATTGTTCATAGCTTTTTAGTCTGAATACTTCGATGAACTGAAGTGGATTCCAAAGGTCCCCTCCCCCCCACACACATTTGCTTTTCTTCTCTCTATTTCAATTATATGCTATCATAATGCAACACAGGGCCTTCAAAATAAAAATTGCTTTTTGTATTGTATGGCTACATAAAATTAAACAAATACAGATTTTATTAGTTTGAAGTTGATTGCTTTAGTTTTGCTAATTTTGGCCATAATTTGTAATTTTAGATATTCATGGTACATAGTGTTTTTAAAGAGTGCTTAAAGGTGCTTATTTTCGATTTTCGTTATTTAAAAGCCCTTAAAGGTGCTTTTTTCATTGGATGTTTTTAAAAAGTGCTTCATTTTCCCTTTTCAAAAATGATAATTTTTCATTACCATATTGATTTTCGCCATGTATTATGCAAAAGCGTGCTTCTTACATCGTTCAATTCAAAGTTTTTCTCAATTCATTTCGGCGTACCGTCGGTCCGTAGCGTGTGAAAGCTCCAATCATTTTACACGTTTGATGGAATACTTGCAAGTCTGCGTGTGCGTCGACTGAGCTGGGTTCTATGAGATTATTGCACTCTCATGTGCAACTCTGCTGCATTTTGAAAGATATTCTCAATTTCAGGCTTCATTTTCCACCTTCTGATATCGAACCGAAAAAAAAATTTCTATCATTTTATAATGGCTAATATAATCAAGAAAGAGAATCACAGCAGCAAATAGGTGCCTTTATGGATTAAGAAAGTTTTTAAGATCAAATGTAATCAAGAGAAAAACAAAGCTGTTATTATTTAAAGGCCTCATTAGGTCAGTTTTAACATATGCTTGTGAAACATGGAAATTGACTCGTGCAGATGAGGAAATGCTGAGCATATTTGAGAGGAAGATATTACGGTGCATTTTTGGAGGAATTAATAAAAACGGTCAGTGGTTAAGAAGATCAAATTTAGAACTTTATCGATCATATAATGAACCAGACATCATAAGATTCATTAAGGTCCAAAAGATAAAATGGGCAGGCCACTTAGTAAGAATGGAAGAAGACCGTATTGTGAAAAAGATTTTTGATGCCCGGCCGACAGGAACACGTAGAAGGGGCAGGCCAAATCTCAGATGGCTAGATACCCTGGAGAAAGATTTATCCATATTAAAAATAAAGAATTGGAAGCCCATTGCCAAAGGAAGGACAGCTTGGAAAAAACTACTGGAGAAGGCCAAGGCCCATCCTGGGCTGTCGAGCCAATGAGGAAGGAAGGAATATAATCAAGAAACGAGTTCTTTGTCAGAAACTAGTTATTTTATTATGATCATGTCAAGTCTTTGAAAATTATTTTGCATTTTATTAATGTATATAGTGCTTAAAAATATTTTTTGAGTGCTTAAAAAGTACTTAAAAGGTGCTTATTTTTTGTTGAAAAATTTGGCCACCCTGTTATTTTATCTCTCTCTGTAAATATAAGTTGATATATATGTGTGTGTATATATACTACCCATTAGTGTGGTTCAACTATTATAACGACTGCTACCTGAAGTCCAGTTTGCTGTTCCATAAAAACAATATTATTTTAACCCATAGAATGTTGAAACTGAACCATTCATTTCAATAAAGCAATATTAAACAATACTTTCATTTTATTGACTTAAAAAACTGTATATTAATCAGTTTCATAATTCTGTGTAAAATGTAGCATGTTTTTGCCAAATTGAATACAGTATTCATGAAATATAACTAAACATTTACACAAATTTTATCTAGTCACAATATGGTACCCTCACTTTATTTCTCTCATTCTTGTTTGGACCACGGGCCACTTTATCAAGCATAAACTGTAGAATATAAATTTGAATAACTTAAATTTTTAATTAGAAAATCTTTTTGAAATCATGAGCCATAATGTTTAGATTAGGAAGCAAGTAGCAAAAAACGGTTCAGAAATTTTTGTTTTATTTTGAATTTCATACTTTTTGTGTTCTAACATATTACTTTTTAGGTAACAAAGTTTTATTAAAATGTGCAACAACAAAAAAAGGAAGAAAAATGCATTATAGCATAAATGCAAGTGGTTTGATGCGGAAAGTTTGAGAACCTCTTATTTAAAGTGAAATTTTTCAAAGCAAATTAGCTTTGCAATCTTAATCTCCAACTTTTTATTTCATAATTTTATAAAACATAAAATCAATAACATAAAAATTAATAATGTTCATGCATATTTTTTAAGTTAGTAAACTGTAGTTAGACATAAAAGATATATTTTTTTACTGTCATTTATTACTTTAGGTTCGGTGACAATACCCGGTGCTGGAGGTGGAAATCTTCTTGGAGGTTACCTTGTTAAGAGATTTAAAATGAAGTGTGCCAGTATCATTAGGATGTGTATTGCATTTTGTCTGATCTGCTTAGCTTTCTCTTTCATATTTATTCTGCATTGCCCAGATTCCAAATTTGCTGGAGTAAATGTCAATATTTCAGATGAGTAAGTTGCATTTCTTAGTACATTAGATTGTGTTGTATTAAATTGTTTTTGTGTAATTTTATTCTTCTAAGAGAGCATTCAGTGTTTTCTCAAACTAAAAACTTTAATCTGCTGGGTTTCATGCTAACAAAAAATCATTTTTTTTTCTATCTTTGAGAACACATTGGAGAGAGAATAGTCTAATTTATCACAAGTTTGTCTTGTGTTTCATTATTCAGAGGGATTATCTGTACATTTTCAGTCACTAGAATAGATTACTGTAAAAAAACGAAAAATTACATTGACATAGGTGAATTGTAAAATCTGGTTCAGGCATTGTAAAATCTGGTTCAGGCATATTTTATTAGATCTTTATAATGCAAACCTTGAAATGCAAGGCTTTGTGCTTTATAGAATTTTGTGTTGTATCATTTCACACATTTATGAACTTACTTATTAATATCTATCAATCTTAAAATGGTTTTGAATAATTTTTACATACAAATGCTTAACTGAAAAATATTCTCTTAAGTATTTATTATTTAAAGAAAAAAGTTAACATTTTCTAGACCTCTAGAACTGGTAAAGGTAATAATAATAATAATAAATAAAATTTTTTTTAATTTTTTTGCCCTGTCTAGATTATTGAAAGTGTAACATCTTAGTAAATAGTTAAACAAATAATGTTAATAGTTCTGGCTTAGTTCCAGAAATTTCTTAATTGTTATTTTCATTGTTTACACAAATAATAATAATGTTGTTTATAGGGCATAGAGTTTTATAGAGTTGTATTGTATAGATACTGTTTAACTGAACCTAAAATACATTTTTTATGTTCGCAGATTTTGACAAAAATTAAACTTTGTTTACTATTTAGATTGATAAAGTATAAATATACTGCATAAAAATTTTATCGCAATTTTTTGTATATATTTTGAAAATTTGTGTCAAAATTTTGAACAGAAATATGTTTCAATTTCCCTCCTTATATGTAACATCGAAAAGATAATTTTCTGCCATAGATTTATTTCTTTAAGTCTACTTTTTCAAAAAAATTAATTAGTAATTTAGTTGATGAACTTCTGAAAATTGCTTCACAATAATTAAATTTCCAAAATTTTTTTTGGAAAAGATAAATAACTTTTTTTGAGGGGGGAATGAGTTGCTTTTGAATTTTCGGTACTATTCTATCTCTAAAGCATAAACTGTTCAAAAAGAAAATTCCTGCTGAACAACTTTATATCTAGAGCTAAACTGTATATGCATTTACTTCCCTGTTAACTGTTACTTCCCTGCAGATTAGTTTATGTTCATGCACTGATAGAATTTTTTATGCGGTAATAATCAATGTGAATAATTTTTGTTTCAATTATATATTTAATTTAATATTTAATTAATTCCTTTCTATTTTATGAGGAGACAGCTGAGGGCTCTATCCCCTGAGTCACCAGGACTCTTTACATAATTGAAAGGTAATTTTCCATTGCGTAAAGAGCCGTGGGTTCTCAGGGGATAAAGTGATGGCTGGTTGATATGAATTCTGCACCTCGCTTGCATTGACCACAGTGATAACGAAAAATATCCTCAGTGGTAGACAGATCATGGGTTAGAGTCCCCTTGCCGTCAGGCTAACCATGGGAGGTTTTCCTCTCCATGTAACGCAAATGCGAGTTAGTTCCATCAAAAAGTCCTCCATGAAGGCTAGTTTGTCATAATGCTTGATGCAGAAGTTCTCTTGTCTTCTAGGTTGGGTTCAAAATTGCAAAGGCTACGGAATTGAATATTGGTAGTCGTAAACCCAACAAAATTGGATCAGATGTTCAAAGATGGTTTTAAAATATAATATATTGCACTAAGTTTTGCATAATTTTAAATTGATTTCAATTTAACTGGTTATTTTTGATGGTACTCGCAGATTATTTGTCGATATCATAATTCTCATTGCAGAACGTAAGATATAATTCTGTTTTTAGATGCTCTATGATCTTGTTTCTGATTTTGAATATTCAATTTCAACCATTAATTGTACTTATATATTACATATTTTTGAAATAAATTATTTATTTTACAGAACCATGGGATCAAAATTTTTGTCTGATTGCAATTCTGACTGTACTTGTTCGGATCATAACTATGATCCAATTTGTGGTGCAGATAACACAATTTACTTTTCTCCTTGTTTTGCTGGCTGTCAAACGGTTTATCAAGAAAATGAAAGAAAGGTAATTTTTCTTTAAGTGCTTGCCCATTTTTCTTTATTAAGTTACGACTGGACTTTTAGATTCAAGATTTAATAATTATTCAGAATTTTTTCACTATAATTTGGTATTATATTTTTGACTCACATACCTTAGTGGACTATTATAGCTTTTTGACTATCGGGGCTTTGCTCATATTGCTAGTCAAGAGCTGAGGTTGTCAATTTGATCCTGACATAACGACTTGAGAATCAGCCTGAATTTCCATCAAGTGATTGAGTGACTCAGGGATGTGATTCTTCTGCGGATCCGCTGATTTCCACTTTTTTCAGATTTTTCCATATCTTCCGCTCTTTTTTCATAAATTTCGGCGCGGAAAAAAATTTTCTGCAGTAAATGACATTTTGTTGAAAAAATTTTTTCTTCCGCGGAGCGAAAGTATTGAAGCCCCCAATAAACCTTTCTTCACATGTCAATCTGCTGGCTGGGGTAAAAGTGGTTGACCTTGGTAAAACAATGCCTTCTCCTACTCCACTACTCTCTTATCTTTTCAGGGATGAAAGACTTTTTTAAAATTTCCGACCATGTTCCAAAAACTTTTGGGGAGTCGAACGAACGATATAGTCGGACTTGCGACGAACTCCCCCCCCCCCCGCNACCCCCCCCCCCCCCCTGCAGTGGCCTCCTGAGAAAATGATCTTCAGAAGAAAATGGGTAGAATTTCGGCATGTACGCAGTTGCCTTGACAACCCCGACTTCCGCTATAGTTTGGAAGGAAAAAAAATTATGTCTTAAGCAGTTTCGTTTCGGCCGCTGATATTTGATTTCTTTTGATTGGCTGATTTACAGAATTTTAAATGTTAGGAACTGGGCCAGAATCTGCTAAAATTGCGATTCTTGTTTAGATGATTTTTATATAAATCATCGATTTTCGTATTTTACTGATTTATAAGTTACTTGTTGAGATTCGTTTTTACTATATGTAAATAAAAATATATGTAAAAATAACTTTTAGCAAGGCTTTTTTTCTTGTTTTTTTAATCTTTGTTAAGGTCTCTTTTTTTAATTCTTTTTTTGTCTTTTTTTTAATGTTATATATAAGCTGAACATATTTAGAAATACTATAAATTTTGATGAAATAAATGTAAAATTGTCTTCATGTCGCATTCCTTTATGAGGGACATTTCATAAAGAATTTTCCTAACATAAAAGTTACTCAATATATTATTCAATCGAGTTTGAAATTTGAAATGTAGTGTTTACAATCAAGTTTAGCATGAATAGTTCGCTTTCTATTTTGTTACTTTTCAGAATGAGGAAACATCCTAATCAAAATTAATGTACTATTCGTACATTTTAAATATTTGTTAATAAAAAAAAGTTTATTTCTTTTGTAGTTAGTGTGTAAGTTTAAGATGTTTTTTTTCTTTTTGTTAAAATTTTAAATTGTTTCTACATTATCTGCTCATTCTAATTTTAGGCCTATGGATCTTGTTCGTGCATTGAACATGGAGGGATGAATATGACATTTCGTGGAACAGAATATGTTGTCCAAGCAACTCGGGAGAAATGTGATAATAACTGTACTCATGGTCCATTATTTCTGGGTGTTATATTTCTTTGTATGTTCTTCACATTTTTGGTCAGCATGCCTTCTTTGTCAGCCACTTTACGGTGAGAAAGTTTTCTGATTTAAATTTAAATACTTTGAATTATTCAAGTTAAGTTTTTTTTTCAAAAAGTTTTTAAACTCAGAAATGATTGATTGTGCTCTGGAAAAAATCTGTATTTCCGGATTTTTCGCTAACCGCGATCCAGAAGTTTCAAGAAATCCTCAATTACTTTTATGCATTAAAATTCTTATATATTTTATTTAAAAGTATTAGAGCTAAAATTTATACTTGGCATCTCTTTTATATGGAAATATTTTTTTCTTCTGGTAGAATAATAAATGTGATTAGAGATAAAAGTAAACTTATACCTATTTATTCATTTAAATTATGCTGCATATAATTTATTTAGAATTTCATGTTTTAAAAAAGGTCAATGATTTAAATTTATTAGATTATTAATTTTTTGAAATGCGTCATTAGTGATTTTACTCGATACATTTTCAGGGTTTTTGAGTTGGGCTCACAATCACTCCTTTAAACTTTTCAGACATATTCAAGCACCCTGCCTGACAAGGTGACAAAAAACTGGTCTTTTTTGCCCCTTAATTAATCTGGCCGAATTTCGATAAGAAAAACTTCCTCTGTAGCTTTTCTTTTTATCTAATTTCTTATTATTTACATTTAACATACATGCTTTTAAATTTACTTTATTTTAAAGACTGTTAAAAAAAAACGTTGGAAAATAAATATATAAAATATTTTATTTAGAACTAAGCATTACATGTTAAATATTGCAAAAGAAAATAAATAAATAATAGTTTTTAAAGGACATTGTTGATTTTCAGAATATTTCTATTTTAAAAAGAAAAAAAAAACTTCTATTTACTGCTATTTAAACTATTTACTACTACTAAATATTTGATAAGTAAAATGAATGTGTTTAAAAATTTTACCGGGATTAAATATGCAAATACTTTAGACCTTAAAAAAAATTATCCTTAGTTTTTTTTAAAATAAAATATTAGTATTTTTTTAATAGATGTTAAACTTCTTTATTATTGAAGGAGGAATGGGATATAAAACAAATTAAGTCGAAAAACTAGTAAAAATGCATAATTTTAATGAGTATAAAGAATTGTATTGCATCTCCAAGTCATCCCAGCTGTGCTTTAAATTGATAATTAATGTTCACAATTAACCAAAAATTGTGCCAAATGTTCTGCAAATCATTAATTCTCTATAAAACTGTATTATATTTTTTTTTCAAAAACAGTAAAGTTGGTAATTTTTGTTAACTTGATATTATTTATATGTTTATGCTGCAACAAAAAAGTAATTTTTTAATATTACCAGTACTTTGGTTACTTTTGAGGACTTTCAGCATGATTTACTTTTTTTGCAGAATCATGCTGATAAAAGGAAGTGAAATCAACTTGCATTTGTCTTTAATAATTAAGTAAAACTAATAGCTTAATGCAGTAATATTAAAATTATTTATTATTATGAACTAAATGAATGCTTTGTTATAAGTATATACTTTATTAATCATAAAACTTTGTAAAATATATAAATATAACATGTAAGTACTAGTTTAATCTTCTCGTGACCTGCGAATTGTTAGTTTTAAATTCAGTTAGTAATATTTGTGTCACAAATATATATATTTTTTCTATGTTGTAGATGTGTTGCTGAGTCGCAAAAATCATTTGGCTTGGGTATACAGTGGATGGCTGTTCGACTTCTTGGTATGTTTCATTTTTGCTGTAATTTTGTTAGTTTTAATGAAATACATTGCATGTAAAGTATCATCAGTTGCCACTTCCTTTTCAATTTTTTCTGTCTCTCAAGTTCAAATTTTGTACAAATCTTTTCATAGGCTTCTTAGAGTAGTTATGTTTTCTAAAAATTATGTTCTAAAACCCCTTTTAAAATTTTGTATTCCTGAAAATTGATATATTTATGAGAAACCTACAAAGTAATGCCTAATTTACTTCTGAAGCACCTTAACACATGTCGGTATGCATAAAGAAAATTCCGCATTTCATAGTCTCACCTGTTGCTAATTAATGAAATTTGTTTATTGCAGTTAATAATTAATTAGCAAAAAATGCTGGCATTTGGCAAGTGATGGTGCGAGTAACACTGAGCAGATATGTGTGAATACTGACAATGAGTCGCTAGAATTTGTTTTTATATTTTTAAATTGTAATCTTGGAGCTGCGGTGGCCCAGGGGATATTGTTCACCTTCCAATGAGGTAAACCAGGTTCGAATCCCAGCAGTGACTTGTTGATGCAATCTCTAGTTCTTGCTCGTACCGACCACAGTGCTGATGTAAAATATCCTTGGTGATAACAGATCATGGGTCAGAATCCCTTTGCAGTTGTACTAACCGTAGGAGGGTTTTGTAATTTCCCTCTCCAAATGTGGGTTAGTTCCATCAAAAAGTCTTCCTTGAAGGCTAGTTTATCCCAATGCTTGTTCCAGAAGCTCACTTGTCTTTTGGGTTGGATTCAAAATTACAAGGCTACAGAGGTTAGGCATCAATATTCATAAACTCAGAATTGGGTGGGCTGTTCAACGCTGGTTATTAAATAAAATAAAATTGTAATCCTAACTTTGCAAAACTGACTCTAAAGTTTCTTTGATAAATATTATCCCCAGGTTATATTTAGTTATTCCTGTTTAATATATCATTTTTATGAGCATGTCCCTTATTTATAAAATTTCAACACGTGTCAAAGTGTCTTAAATATTTATAGGTACAATCCCTGCTCCCATATTTTTTGGATGGTTAATCGACAAAAGCTGTATTCTGTGGCAGGACTCCTGCGATAATGACAAAGGCTCTTGCTTGTTCTACAATAATGAAAAAATGAGCTCCAACATCCTGAGTATTGTTTGCCTGGTGAAAATTCTTTCTTGCATCTTATTTTCGATGGCATGGTACACTTACCGTCCACCAGACACTTCAAGAACTGTAGCCAGCGATTCTGCCTGCGAACCCAACTCACCCCAACAGTCTCAGTCCATTTCGAAGAACATTGCTAACGAAGAGCAGTGCGTTGGAATCAGGTTTGCTCCTTATCAAAATGAGGCTTTTACTTCATGTGATGCACATACCAGTAGTGTACTCTGAGATACTTAGAACACAAAGTATTGTGTTAGCCAAATTATAATTTTATTTGTTTATCGAATTTTATGTAATGTCTCGTTAGGCTCACCATTCCTCTTATTATTTAAAGATAGCAAGTTTGACTATGATCCCAATTTTTTAGAATCCTCTCAGTCCATATTGAAGAACTTAGCTGATTAAGAACAGTGTATTGATAGAGTTTGACCCTTATCGGAATACGGCTTTTACTTTCTGTGATTCATATATCAGAGGTGTACTTTGAGGGTCTTATTAATTTTGATTAACTCCCGCCAAATTATAAGTTTATTGCATTTCATGTAATTGTCTTGTTAGGCTTGTAGTCTGTCTTATTCTTTAAAGATTACAAAGTTTCTTTTCACTTCATATATGAGATTGCAAACAGGAGTAACTTTGTTTTTAGTGAGCTTTTATCTTTTTACTGTGCATTTCACTTTTTTTGTAGCTAGTTAAATGCACGTTTTTAATTTTTGTAGCACTGTGTAAACTTTTTGTGACTGCATTTATTTTTCCTTTTATTCTTCATTTTTTTAAAAGACAAACCGTCCACAAAATATTTATTTTAACTGCCTGATGAGTTCAAGTAGAATTTAAATTTGAAAATGTCTTAAAATTGTTGCATAAATCTTTGTGATACAACTAGAAAAGTTAATAAAGATTTTTAAAAAAAACATAAAATTTGTAAAAAGTGCACTTAATTAGAGATGGACTTTTGATATTTAAATAATATAAAGAAAATTATTTCAATGTTCTTAAAAGCGTTAAGAATTTATTAAAAAGTGTTAAATATATTCCAAGTTTTTGTGTGTCCAAAAATTTTTTTTAAAATATCTCTTGAAAGGGAAGAAAAATAATTATAACCATAAGGTATCAAATATATTAGAATTTTTGCGAATTGATATTTCTATTGAGCTTACGATTTTCAATTTTGTGTTGCTGATGATTTTCTTATAAGTTTCAAAATGTATTAAGAACTTTTTTTTTCCAGTTTATTTAATGTGAATAATGTACAAACATTGCCTGGGTGATAGGACAAAATACGACCATTTCTATTGGTCAAAATAATAAGGCTACTTTTATTTATTTGTAAATATTATTGATGTGATACAAAGTGAAATATATTTGAGAGAATTTAAATCCATACTTTCTATAGAGATACTCTTATATTTTCTATGTAGTTTGAATGTATTTTTGTATCAAAGGTAAAAGGCCCTATATCTATTTTGTAACTAAAATTAAGGTTTTACCATTTCATTTTTCAGAGGTATAAACTATTGTAAGAGTCTGTTGTAAAAATCACTATATCGCAATCAAAAGCATAAAAGAATAATTCTACGGGTGTTCCTGCAAAAATTTAATATTTGTGACAGTGCCTTTTACCTTTAATATGCAGATGTATTATTTGCATGAATAAGAGCACATACTGCATTTGATTTGTAATTTTAATTTATTTTTCTCATCACATTATTAGGTGTTCACTTGTATTTTTTTCATTTGATTTTAACTAGTTGTTACTCAAATGTAATTTTATCTGAATTGTAGATTTTATGACGTTTGTTTTAAATAGTCTATTTCACTAAATAGAAAATCTTCAAGAGTCTGAACGTCACTAATTATAATTGTATATATATAATATGACATGGATGAACTTTTTAAGCATATACTTGGTGAAATTTTATTGCTCTAAATGTTAAGCTATTTAAAGTTGTCATTGTTATATTACCAAGTTCAAGTAAATTAGAAACATAATTATGAATTAGATACATATGTCATTAGATACATATTATGAATTATAGTATTTTTGTGCCACCCTATATAATAAAATGTTCATTTTTTAAATTTGATTTCTAATTATTTAAAATAGATCTTAAGAAATATAATACAATACCCTTACAAGACTAATTTTGATTGTTCTAAAGCAACTCAAGTCTCCAGGAAATATTTTAGTCATATTTAATTAAACAATATTTATTTTGGTAAATGACATTTTTGTGTCAGTTTCCAATTGTATATGGCAGCTAAAATCCACTTCTGGCGTCTTGGAATCAAATCATATCACAAAGTTGGAATGATTTAATAGAACATTGCTCACTATCATGATTTTTTTCTCTTTCATATATCCGAACCACATTGCAGAAATTTTTGCTTCTATTTGATATGAGTTATACGTCAACTCCAGATTTGAGACATCTATTCTTTCTGCTTTTAGGCGGAATTTCGCTTTTTCGAGTTCTTTCCCCTCCCAAAAAGACTCCCTTTTCTTCTATGTAAACATGATTTAAAATTAGTCATCGCTTTACATATTCTCACTTTTTTAAAAAAAATTCGGCATTGCGATTTGAATTCACGTTATTTAATAGTACACATTGCAATATTTATTCACGCAGTTTAAAAATCGCACACTGATATTTATATTCTCACAATTTAAATATAAAATCGCACCTCTTTATATTTTATTAAAACGTTGGTAATATTCTGCGGATATATTCTTCCACGAATACCTGATATTTTTATAATGTTTAAAAAAAAAGTGTTATCTGCATAACATTCACCAAACTCATCCCCTGGATACAGTAATTAGAATTTATAAGGAAAATTATACAAGTCTAAAGAATCTATGCCTTTAATATATCTGCTAAACATAAATTTGCCCGTCCTAAGAAATTTGATTATAAAAAATTCTGGTGAAAGAGGACATAATCCATATATTTAGCTGTTATCTATAATTTTGAATAAGTAATATAAAAGAAAATCTANGCCACCCTATATAATAAAATGTTCATTTTTTAAATTTGATTTCTAATTATTTAAAATAGTCTTGTTAGGATATTGTATTTATCTTTCTTAAGATCTAATTTTGATAGTTCTAAAACAACTCAAGTCTGCTAAAGTACTCAGTAGATGAAGATAATCTCATTTCTCCAGGAAATATTTCAGTCAGCAAAATAAATATTGTTTAGTTAAATATAAGTTTTTAAATTTAGTTGATTTCAGTGGATGAAGGCACTTAAATGACATTTTTGTGTCAGTTTCCAACTGTATATGGCAGCTAAAATCCACTTCTGGCATCATTGGGGAATTTGTTGGAATGAGTATTTGAAAGCATCTTGGAATCAAACCATAGCACAAAGTTGGAATGATTTTATAGAACATTGCTCACTATCTATGATTTTTTTTCCTTCTATTTGATATGAGTTATACGTCACTCCAGATTTGAGACATCTATTCATTCACGGGAGTTCTTTCCACTCCCAAAAAGACTCCCTTTTCTTCTATGTAAACATGATTTAAAATTAGTCATCGCTATACATATTCTCACATTTTTAAAAAAAAAAAATTCGGCATTGCTATTTGAATTCACGTTATTTAATAGTACACGTGACAATATTTATTCACACAGTTTAAAAATGATCTGTTCTCATGCTATTTAAAAATCACACACTGAAATTTATATTCTCACAATTTAAATATAAAATCGCACCTCTTTATATTTTATTAAAACGTTGGTAATATTCTGCGGATATATTCTACCACGAATACCTGGTATTTTTATAATGTTTAAAAAAAAATGTGTTATCTGCATAACATTTTCAGCTTTTTCACCGAACTCATCCCTGGATACAGTAATTGGAGTTTATAAGGAAAATTATAAGAATCTATGCCTTTAATATATCTGCTAAACATAATTGATTATAAAAAATTCTGGTGTAATAGGACATAATCCATATAGTTAGCTGTTACCTATAATTTTCAATAAGTAATATAACGCAAAATCATAGGAAATAAAATATTTATTATTGACAGTCGAAGATAAAACTTAATGAAATAAGAACACATTTTAGAACTTAGACAAAAAAAAATCTTGTCAATTTTTCTCTCAGAAAAATATTTATAAATATACATTACATAAAAAAGAGAGCTGCATGGAAGAAAAATGTAGAGGTAAAAGCAAATGACAATGCATAAATCTTAATATACATGATTTTAAATACCTATGTTTAGACAAAGAAGTTATTAAATCACCATTTGAAAATTAATGTTTCTTTTAACTAATTAATAATTTTCTCACTTTTCATCACACTATTGTTCCATTTGGCACTTGGGAACCAAACTGTCCAATTTATTCTTCATCAAAAATAAATTCTCGATTTAGGAATGTTAGACTTTTTAAAAATAGTCTCACTTGATCAAATCAACGTTCCTTTTTCAAGAAAAATTTCTTAGAGAGAGATTCATTTCTACTTTGTATCTTTAACACACCAATCCAAAAGTTCAAACAAATGTTTGTTCGTGCACTTGAACACTTTTGATTTTTGTCTTTACAGTTCGTTCAGAATATCTGACTTGCTACTTTGATTGGTTATCTTGTACAATATATTGTCATTTTTATGAGTGTAAAAGCACTGCTTTCTTTTTTAAATAGTGTCACTTGTCTACGTGACGTGATAAGGTTAAATCATGCGGGGCGTCTCCGTTTGTAACACCTCTATGCTTTTGTTCTATGTTAATGTACTGACGAATCAGCCTTGATACTTCATGAGCCTGAAAGAAAAAAATTACAATACATAATATAATACTACGACCTTGGAACAAACTTGGAGGGACAGATTAAATTTAGGTAGGGTATTTTTTTCATAGAAATGGCGCATAGTTAAGTGTAGTTTTTTGAGTTCCTGCTTTAAGGAAAAATATGTTGATTTACAAAATTAACTCTAAGTACTTCAATGCAGTAATACTTCACAATAAATATTCAAAATTACAATCACCAATGGTGATGCAGGGTTTTTCACTGTGCATAATTCACGGTCCAAATGGCATTTTTTGATGCATGGGACTGCAACTCAGCACTGCATTGCCAGCCAATCACAGCTGCAGTTTATATTTCTGTAAGTGTTTGAACATTTGAAGCACTTCCCGGCAATTCTTTAGGTTTACGCGTTTTTCCTCTTCTGTTATTATTTTTTTTTTGCATTCATGCCTTAGCACATCATTTTAGAATCTACATACCTATACAAAAAGTACAACTTTTCTATATAATAAACTATCCCTTCAAGTTTGTCCGAAGATTGTGGAATCATTCTATATATAAAAATCTTAGAGGACTGTAATGATAAGTCACATTCTTAACTCGATCAGAAAGCGTTTTAGATGAAAAACACCATTATTTGCATGTTGGCAATAAAATTCCAGAAACAGTTTAAAGTTTCTGGAATTTACGTTGGAAAAAATTATTTCCTCAAGCCAGTCATTTAATTCTATGTTTCTCTTCAACATTTTTTTTAACTTAAGTATTTTAAAACATCCATTTAAAAAATTGTTTTTTTTTTGTAAAGGTTTGCAACTTGGGGAACGTCAATTTAAAAAAAAAAAAATTTATGAACATCCTTAAGATACAGCCAAATTACTCAAATTCTACCTCGAGGAAGTGTTTTGTATCTTAGTGTTGGAGTTTATAATACAATAAACATAAAAAGACCATTTTTTTTATAAATTTAAAATCAAAAAAATACCACAGTTAAAAAGTCATAAGGTTTAAGATAAAATTCCATTTTTGACACTAATAAGCCGATACCAAAACACGACTAGTTACAGCAGAATCTATGAATAAAAATTCAGCACAACTTAAACACCACACGCAGAATACATATTTGATGTTTGTGCCATTAAACTATCATTAACATAGTTCATGGATATTTATGTTTTCGATCTATTTCGGTTTTCATCAAAATAATTTTTTTTTACAAACTAAAAAAGTTTCATAATTTTGAATGTAATTTTTGCCTCAAGACTATATAAAATTCCAAATTTAAGGCTCAACTAAGAGTTCAGATTTTAGTTTTTGCATTAAAAAAGAAAAGCTAACAAATTATACAATGATTTAGAATTGAGAATCATAAGACCTGCGTGTTACATTACATTAATATCTTTTTCATAAAAACTTATATACAGTTAATGTTTAGAGTGTACAGGGATAAAAGGTTGTCGATGCATTTAATTTTTACTTCACTTACCTGGTCAGTCTGGATTCGTGTTATTTTCTGTACCATCAGGTTACCACACTTCATGTCTAAGAACAAAGTGCCATCTTCCGCCCTTACTTTTCTTGTTGAAATGACTTCTGAAAAGGGATATTTCCACACGGTTTCCTGCAATATGAAGAGTACAATATTATTCAAAAGAAGAGAACCTCTAACAATTCCGTTTAATATTGCCACCTTAAATATATTGAATTTGCTTTCTTTACATGTTCATGCCGCCATAAGAATTTTTAAACAAATATAAACTTATTTAATGCATGGCACCCCATAGCTGGCAATACAATATGTTACACAATCACTGCTCTTAATATATATTTTTAGAATTGCGTATTTGAAAATTTTTACTTGTGTAAAGAACACTATATAAATAGTGATAGCCAACCTGCGGTAGGGATGCCACGCAAAGACTTTAAAAATTAAAATATGTGTAAAATGATGCAGTCGGACCGAGCAGGAAAACAGACACAGGATTTTAATGAAAGCAAAATTAGTTTATTTGATCATTCTCAAATGGATGACGAGCGAAAAGTGAAGTTAACTCCATCGACGATCAGTCTTTCTGGTAGGGAAAATCTTGCAAAAAAAAGTCCGAAAATGTCTCTATTTAGGAAAAAGAGGGAAATCTTAGAAATTACTATTGGTTTATGAAATAGGTTGAGTGATTCCCGCGAAGATTAAAGGGAAAAATGTCTTCTCTTATAATTATGCCTACTTGAGCCAAAAATAGATTTAGGAACAGGATGTGGCTTTTTAAAAGTATGAGTAAGTGTTTCGATTTGAATAATTAATTAGGATGAAGTTTTATAGCAGAGATAATGACATAAAAAGATCCGGGTTACTGTTTCCGGTGTATTTTAAAGCTATTTGGCACACAACGTGATCATCGTGTTTTGAGATTCTTGCATACGTGGTATTTGATTAATTATTACTTTTTTTTTACAATGCTAACAATACTTGTGTTTACAATGCTAAAGGTGCTAACACTAACGCGAGATGGTGCACAGCTTGCAACAAGAACAAACAGTAATAAAGAAATGGAAAGAGGCCAAATCAGGACTGCCAAACAAGCGAGTTATTCAAAATCTATCAACCATGTCACCTTTTTTAACAATATATCTATAAATAACTAAAACAAATTTTCACTTCAAACTCACCAAAATTACTTAATAACATTAATATCTCATGAAATACGGCAAATTTGAGCTCAGAAATTATCTAACTTATTTCTTTTATTGAAAACAAAATTATCCGTTTGAAAATATCTCCTGGCAGAATAAGCAGTAGCAAACTTTCTAACCGGAACTAGAGCAGGTACTGAGCTCTAGATTGTTATTGTTTACATTGATATTGAAAACACCATCCATACAGATATATATACCATAACAGACATTACAAAATTTCGAATGTTGAAATAGCGGTTTGTAAAATAAGGAAAATTTTTAAATAGTAGTTGCTGAAATTGTTAAGAAAAATATGGGTAGTTTGAATACTACTTACATGAGTGACTACTTCCAAGAAATGGACACCCTCCTTATTAAGAGCTAGAATGTGATCAACAGGTAAAGAGTCTCCTCTTATCCACTGTTAAGAAAAATTTTGCACTGTTATATATATTATCTGATTTGTTAAAAACAATAAGCTTTCACGATTAATGTACTAAAAATTGTGTATGAAATACTAAAATTTTTTTTTTTTAAATTTAGTCTTAACAAATTTTGTAGTTTATAAAAAGAATAATTTTTTTTTATCAATAAAGCTCTCAGATGAAAACATGCATTTGAATGAAATTTAAAAATAAGAAAATAGTTGTAAAATATGTTACAAACATGAATAAGAGATATGAGAAAAGATGTAAAATTGTTAATTACCTTGACAATAAAGAAACAGGAACCAAATAGTGGCCATTTTTGCAGGATGTCTAGAAAATAAAGTTATAACTTAGGGTTTTTGGTAACATTAAATAAAAACATTTTTTTAAAAATTGGTTTTAATAGTAATTGCGAAATTTTACCAAAAATAAATAAAACATAGATTAAAATGCAAAAATCTATTTGTAAAAATTTATAATTCTGACTGAATTCGTAAAAAAAAAAAAATTAAGTTAAACAAAGTATTTTTAAAGAAGTAAACAAAATTTAAAAAAAAAAAAAATTAGATTCACAGATACATAATTCAAACACCACATGTTTGAATTTAAAAATTCTAAAACATTTCCTTGAATAACATTGAATCTGTAAAACAAAACATTTTTTAAAAACATATTAAACTTAAGATAAAATTACTAATAAATTCAGATTGTTAGCATAATTTCACAATAAGTGCGCCTTTCATAATCAAATTAAACAACAAATAAAGTAATATCTTTTAGAGAAGCTCATAAAAATAAAGATTCGATAAGAAAACAATTTAATTTATCTATTGTATTGGGGAAAATCAAAACCTTGTTTATCAGTTTGTGTGCTGGATTCACAAAAATTTGATGGAAATAATTTATATGAAGTCTAGAGATTTGAGAAAGATTAAAATCGTGTACTTGTGTTGTAGAAAAGCTCAATGACAGAGATTCAATGAGAGAAAGTTACAAAATCTCTTAAACTGAAGGAAAATAAAAACCATGTTGTGTTGCAGGTAAGCTCACTCGCAAAGATTCAGTGAGAGAGCAATGTACAATTCAACAGAGGAAGATAAAAAATTATGTACATGCGTTGCAGGTGAACTCACTGAGTTTCAGTATGAGAGCAATTTACAAAATCTTTCGAATTCGGGAAGATAACAGCCATTTTGTGTTGTAAATGAGTTCACGTACAAAGATTCAGTGAGAGCAATTTACAATATTTCTTGAACTGAGAAAAATAAAAACTGTTGTGTTGCAGGTAAGCTCACTCACAAAGATTCAAGCAATATTTACAAATTTTCTTGAACTGAGGAAAATAAAATCCATGCTGTGTTGCAGGTAAGCTCACATACAAAGATTCAAGAAATATTTACAAAATATGAATTAGCAATGTAAGGACGAAATTAGGTTGGAGTTGTATAATTGACTAATTGAAGATTGTGATGAAAACATGATAATAAAAATGACATTTGAAGATGAAAACTGAATCATAATTATAATAAAACTTATTTAGAATTTCTAGAGATCGAGATACAAAGTTATATTTTATCCATAATAAGACTTTCTAAGTTAAGTAATAAATTTTGCCTAATAATATAAATAAGGACAGGCCATAGGAGATAAATCCCCCATGACCAGCCTAATCAAATGCCAAATTAAAAAGTGATTGAAATGTTCCCAACAGACAGTTAGGAGCTTGGGAAGAGATCCATGGTTGGTGATTTATTGAAAGATAACAAAGCCAAACACCCCGTAATCAATATTAAATTTGAAAATAATATGGCGAAAGCGAATCGACAATGAATTAATGAGTCTTACATTAGTATTGAAATAAAAAGTTAGCCGTTAAATTGATTGTTAACACTAGGTTTACGGACGTTTTTTATATACCTATCTCTACGAACACGCGTCAATTTGACGCACTTACAGAGATGCCAACTTTCTCTGGACAACAAATATATATTTTAAAGTGGTAGTTTATCAATTGTGATTCTTGGTTTAATAAGTTCAATTTAATAGATTTTTATCCACCACTATTTCTAAATAATTCGTAGGTTTATATAATTCACCACTTTATATTTGCAAAATTTACNTTTTTTTTTTTTTTTTTTACTTATTTCGGCATGCCCAGAGCAATTAGCATCTCTGCACTTAGAAAGCAATGTAATTATATACTATAAGAAAAAAAATGAAAATATGAGAAAAACGAAAATTTGTATTTATGAAATATTCTAGTATTTTATTTTTCAATACTCGGACTAATCAACCGAAACCTTCAAAATCATCTTTCTATTATTGATTATCGGCAACAGTTGTTTATCGCTTGTTTCATTTGAGATACGGATCGAAGTATTGTCGGTACATTCCTATTTATTATTGATGTGATGTTTGTATGCTTACTCAAAATTTTGTATAAATTACGATTGCGTCAAATTGACGCATATCCGTAGAGATAGGTACACCACAAAAAAAATTTCAATATTTCAACGCTTTTGAAGAAAATACACTTCAATATATATTTACCTCGATCAATGGGTAAAAGTTATTGCAAGAGATAAAATAAAAATGCAAACGGGTTTTGTAATTTTCCTTATAAAATTCGAAATGCGTCAAAATGACGCGTCCCGTAAACCTAGTGTTAAGAAAATAATAAAATATTTTACATTCGTTTTTTATAAAATTTAATAAAAGTTAAATAATTGGTTTGATTTAATTTAAAGTTCGGTTAAGAATGATTTAAAAAAAGAAATTTTAAAAGCTAGGAAATATGTAATGCCTATAGTGGCACCACAAGCAATCTTTACAAAATCTCATGAACTAAGAAAGATAAAACGTATGTTGTGCTGTAGGTATGCTCTCCCACAAAGATTCGATTTTTTATATCTCCTAAAGTGAGAAAAATAAAAAGCATGTTTGTAAGGACAAAAGAACAAATTACAAGAAGAAAGATGTTACTGCGTTGTTATTGGAAAGCTTGAAGGGTCATGAAGGACGCCTGAAGTTGTGAAGGCTTGTGGAATTTAAAAATTATAACTGCAGTTGTTTTGAATATACAAGTTATTCTTACCTAGGCATTGAGCTTTAGCTTCTGTTGTAGTGAGTGCAGTCATTTGAGGCCAGTTTTGTTGAACATATTCAACCCATTGAGCTGGTCTTATGTCACGGACTCCCAGAATCGGTTTAGGTAAAAGATACTTAACTTCCTCCCTTAGGAAACAAATAAAAAAAAAAAGAGTGGTTCAGTTGCATTATTAAAACTATAAGATAAATAAATGTATTGTTCAAAAAGAATCTCAACTTACTTGGCAGGAGTATGTTCCATATCAGCAGCTCTGTGCAACAAAGCAGCAACTTTTGAGATATCCGCCTGTCAAAGAGTAAAACTATGCATTACTTACTGTTCTAATGCATTTTGTAAGAATGAAATTTTTTTTCTTCACATATTAGTTGATGATAAGCAAATTGAATCTATTGCTTTATCGATTATAATTTCAAAAAGCTATAGTGCATATACAGAACCGGATTATACCTTTCGTAGGCCCTAGGCATAGCCGTTTTTGGGCCCTCCCCTCCTTCCCCCACTCCTCCCCTCTTTTCAAAATATATGCTAAAATTTTCTTGCATATTTTTTTTTAAACATTTTTATTAATATGGATTTTAATTTACAAATTTGTTTATTGAACTTTATCTGCAATACCGACATACTGCCGATATTGCAGTTGATATCGATAATACCATTATGATTAGTTCGATCGATAACTATGTAAACACTTCACGTCAACAATACAACAACAAACCAGCAAAGAAAACAGTGAAATTGATAGTGAGATTAATTACAAGAAATATTTATACTACAAATAGCTTCATAGTTTTCATGATACTACTATGATAACTAAGTGAAGGAAATTAACATTGTCAAAAGTAAATCTTTTGAAATTATTTATAGATAAATTTGCAAGGTAGGCAAAAAAGTAATATATTAGATCATAAGATTCTGCAAAATAATTTATAACCGAAAAATATTATTTTTTTATTTGTATCTTCATAATTTTGCTCAAAATACACTTGCTCTTAAAGCTAAATTATTTTTGTCAACAAATTTTTTTCTCCCAAGTTTTTCGTACGCCCCTGAATTTCGTAGGCCCTAGGCACGTGCCTAGTGTGCCTATAGGTTAATCCGGCCCTGTGCATAGATAAACTGAAGATGCACAGAAATTAGTAAATATGAAATCTCAGATGCATGACTAAAAAATATGAATTTTAACTGTATAAGGTGTACTTATATTTTCTCAAAATTTTGTTATAAATGCGGATTGCCATTTTTTTTTCACTAAATACATTTTTTTATTATTATTAAAATTGGAAAGGCATTCGGTACTGCAGTTTGTTTCTAGAAATATCTTTCTTAGGAATCGCACCTTTGATCATTCTGCGTTTTAACAAAAGAGATGTTCTACTAAATTAATTAAGTGTACAGGATATTATTCACATGCTTGAACTTAGGATTTCTGATTTGAGTTTCATATTTCATTAAAAAGTATTCTGATAGTGTTCAAGCAAATATGAAACGCACAAATGAACCTGAAAATGAAATTAATCATTTTTTGTAGTTACTTTGATAACTTATAATAACCTTGGTATTAATGTTACTTTGGTAACTTATAATAAATTAAATTTCTTACCACATTCTGTTCTTTGACTCGTTCTCCTGGCATGACTAAGAGCAAACCTTCTAAGTAATCGGGTGCGACTTGATTAAATATGACTTCAATGTACAAATGATTGTCCAGCCTCAGAGGATAATACCAAACGGACCGACAGAATATCAAGTAAAACACTTGACCATTTTTGAGCAATTCTGTCGTCACGTCCAAAATGTATTCCTCTCTGTTCAGAGGCATTGTATAAGGATCTAGATTGAAAAAGAAAAAACATTTTAAATACGGTGGGAAAAATACTTTTTAACAGTTCTGAAAACAAAAAGAATTTAGCAGCAATAGAAGGTAACAGCTTCTTTAACAATTAAATATCAATCAACTGATAGAAAAATATCAAATCAGTGGAGAGAATAATGTAGAAGTGAAATATTGCAACAAAAAAAATATCATTACAAATGTTTAGCTCCGAGGGAATTTTAAAGAAGAAAAAGTACAGTTTCATTTGTGTAAATGCCTCTTCCACAGCAGAAAATTGAGACTTTTTGCAACCATAGCAGAAAACATACATTCGTCCCATATATTTCTTTTAAACCGTATGTTTACACCACCCGAATTTCATTTCATCCTTTACAGCGATATGTTTTTTTTTCATCCAATGCTCAATTGGAGAACGACATTTCGTCATATAGGCATCTGAAGGGCAGATTTGTTAGTCACTTTTACAGGGGCACCACATTAAGTGGGCCAACGTTGCTCACACAGTGGGGATAGATAGTACAGAGAATGAAAGAACCTCCATGCCTTGCCCGGGATTCGAACCCAGAACCTTTCTTCCGCAGGGCCTGACCCTAAATTTGACCTAAAATCAAAGATGGCGAGGGTAGAGGCATCTTGAGATGTTACTGTCAACTTGTATTTATAAAAATGTATGACATTGCATATCATGAGTAAATAACAGTCATTTCCCATAAGGTTTAACAGCATTGTCTACTTACATTTATAAAAATGTATAATATAACACTAATATTGATAATCCTTACCTGAAAGGTTTATGATTCAATCGTGAGAAGAGAATGAGTCTTAATTGAAACTTTGGTGCAGTTTATTGTGCCGTTGAAGGCGCATTAAGTGTATTAAAAGTTTTTTGAAAAATGTTCGACAGTAAAATCATATTTAAATGAACTTACCTCCTTCTACTATACAGTATAATGAAAATTCTTCCATCTCCAGTTGATTACGAACGTTCAAAATGGTACAAATCTCTTCGATGATATCTTGAACAACTGTCGTAGATTTCGTATTGATGACTCGTTCTGTACCACCAGGAAGTCGATATATTTGACGTTTCGAATTCCTTCCAGCCTGAAAAAAAGAAAACAATGAAAATTACAATATGAGCTGTGCAATATTTTATTTCAAAACTGTAGTTGAACAGCCGACCAATTTTTGAGTTTACCACTACCTACCTATGTTCAATTTCGTACCCTTACAATTTTGAACTCTATCCAGAAAACAAGTGAACTTCTGGATCAAATATCGAGAAAAATTTGCCTTTGTGGAGGATTATCAGATGGAACTAACCCACATTTGCGTTACATGGAGAAGGAAACCACCCACGGCCAGCTAGACGGCAAAGGGACCCTAACCTCTGATCTGTCTACCACTGAAAATATTTTTTGTCAGAACTGCTATCGGTGCGAGCGGGGTGCGGAATTCGTATCGATTAGCTATCGTTGGCTTTCGAACCAGAGTCACCTCATTAAGAGGCGAGCGCTATATCCCCTGAGCCACCACGACTCTTAACTGTACAATATGGATAATTTACCCCAAGAATAAAATTGATTTTAAGTTCGTACGATTAACCTTTTGGTTACGGCTGGTACAACATGTGGATCATAGGTGATGGTACAACATGGAACACCGTAAGAAAAGGGTTAATAGTGTTTCAAAATTAAAGTTCTGTATTATTTTTCACGCTAAATTCAATTAGCAGTTTTCTAATTATTGACATCAAGAGAACGTTAAAAATAGAAATTCGCAAACGTTGATTAAGATAATTAAAGCTTTTTGGAAAAATAACTTTTTAATAATTAATGCAAGATGATTTAAAACTTGAATTTAGATAGAAAGACATTGTACTCATACGATTTAAGCTTAACGTTTTTATTTTCTTTCGTCACACCTTCTCAATAGTAAATTATTGGATGTCTGTGCTACTGAAGATTTATAGACCACTAAATCGACATAAAATAAAACCCACAAAATACTTTGATATCAAATAAAACTTTCTTTAGGTTAAAGGATGTTGAATTCAAATGCCATTTATTTTTTGGACTGCTTAAATACCTCTTACGTATAGCTCCGCTCCCTAAAATATTGTTTATTATGCAATAATGATAATAGTAGAAAAAACCCCACTTATTTCGATAAACGTGCAGGTCCATGGACGTAACAGAAAAGTGTCTTCCAATCCTAAGGTCTCAAGTTCAAAACCCTTACTAGCCTAACATTTATTTTTAATCGTTATCAATCATTTTACTGTCCAGGTAGTTTTCAAAATATATTCAAGTTTCATTTTTGCTTAAAGATAATGATTTTAAATTCTATGAAAGAGAGAATTCTCCATTTCCTTAACTACAGGAAATAACGTTAACTTAACGTTTTCCATTATCTTTAATAAAAAATGTTTCCGTTTTTGATAAATAATTATAGCAAATACAGACTAAATTTTTAAAAAGAATTAGAAATCTATAGTATAGATTATTGATAAACTGTTTCTAAAAGGGACCTTTAAGGGTTCTAGCATAAAAAGGATTCAAATTCTTTCTTGTTAACCTTAAAAGAACGATTTAAACCTAAACCAGAGATTAGTAAATATATTTTTAAAAACCTTTAGTTCCAGTTTACTCTTAGAAATGTAATATATTTAACATAATTACCAAATTTTAAAATTTATAGTAAGTATTTTTAAAATTTAAACTTTAAAAAACTTTAAACTTCAAAAAAGTTTTTGAATTACTTACAACTTTAAAATTTGATCAATAAACATATTTCAATAAATAAAATGGAGAAAAAAAAGTTTTCAAAAATAGTAATCAGCTTCTTAATAAATAAGGAAGATTGTATTCATAGAGTTTTCATATGTTAATAGGGCATTGAATCCCTTTTCTGCCCCTTAAGGCAAACAAATTAATTTTTAGAACAGAAATTAAAATGAACAAATTCATATTATTTCAGTAATTTACTTCAGAATCTAAAAAAAAAAATAATAATAATCAATACTCACTGATATGGCTGATATTTCTTCTATACTAGGTACATTTTTGCGTCCGCCATATTTGAAAGTTTTTCTTAAATTTTGCAAGCACACCATAGCAGTTCCTGTAAATAATTAAGATACATTTCAATGACTTCTTTTACAAACGTGCTGTTTCTTATAAAAGGGAAAACTGTTATGATTATATATAAAAATCTGTTCTATTTTTTTAATTATGCTATTTCTATTACACAGTGGTTTTACTTCTGTTAAATAAATGCGTCAATGGCGGCCTCCAACAAAATTGCTTAAAAATTTAACCTTTTCCGGCAGAAGACATTGGAGGATTTTGGTCTGACAGCATATTAGCTACTGCAACCGTTAGAATGCATGACCGTAGATCATGGATGGTAAGTTAAGGGATGCACTTAAGCCCCCAAGATGTTCTAATTGCTGTTGTTAAAAATTAGCAGCTGTTTAGAAGCAAATACACAGTTTATCATTTCTTGTTGTTAGTAATATTTTTGGAATGAGGTTTAAAGTTTTATAAATCAGACATGGTAGATTAATTAGTCAAAAACTATTAAAGCTTTAAAATATCTAAGGTGACAAATAAAAGCAAAAAAAAAAAAAAAAAAAAAAAANAAAAAAAAAAAAAAAAAAAAAAAAAAAAAAAAAAAAAACACGAAGAATATTAAGAAAAACAATAAGTTTTATTAATTGCGCGTAAGCTGCAAGTAAATAGAACTCATTAAATAAGTTCGAAATGTAGAGAAAACAAGGGAAAAATTGGAGAACAATGAAAAAAGGGAAAAAAAGAAAAATAATAATAAAAATAAAAACAAAAAACCGGAAGATAAAAAAAAACCGGAAAAAAGGAACAAAAAATTTTTAAAAATCCGGAAAATAAAAGATGTAATCTTTTCATCAGCTCACACGATTATATCCGCAAAAAAGAGCGCTTTCTAATATTGCCTCAATATAGCCAAAGCAAAATATATCAATACAATAGTGTGAGAAGCACTCAAACAATTTTACAAAAATATACAACAAATAAAATAGAACACAAAGTAAGAACACAATAAGTAACTCTTTTTTTGCGGATATAATCGTGTGAGCTGATGAAAAGATTAGATCTTTTATTTTCCAGATTTAAAATTTTTTTTTTCCGATTTTTTTTGTTATTTTTATTATTATTCCCCCTTTTTTTTTCATTGTTCTGTAATTTTTCCCTTGTCTTCTCTACATTTTGAACTTCATATATATATATAGAACCTAAGGTAGGTCTGAACCTATCTAGATATTTTGAAGCGAAATCTAGACACTTCAATCTCGATGCATTTTCTAGTAGAACCATGTTCTTAAGTAACTGCTAATACACAGCCTATATTTTAAACACTAATTAGTTATAGTTGGATATAGAATAGGACCTAAGGTAGGTCTAAACCTATCTAGATCTATTGATCAAAATCTAGACACCCCAATCTTGGTCCCTCGATGAAATTTCTAATAGATCCATTTTAAGAAACAACTGCTCAAACACATCGAATTCAGAATATGCGTACGTGAACATGAGAAGATGTGAAACCTCATTATTTCATCCATAAGAGCGTCAATACAAAATGTAATCTCTTTTTTTGTTTATAGAAGTCTCAATTCATGCTTTCTGAAAAATGGTCTCAAAAATGTCAAATTATGACTAAACAGTTAAATTATTTAAAAGTTTCACAATGGGTGTTTCCCTTTGATATAAATGAACAGCTTTTTTTTATTAACATCGATTACACAAGTGTAACTAAGCAGTGTTTAAACACAAATATCGTGAAGTCAATATCGTCAAATCAAAAAGACATAAATAAGAACTCTTACTAACAGTAAAGGTGAGTAATAGGCACGAACAAGGACAAGGTAATATGCAGATGATATTTATGTTTTCTTACCATGATAAGCTCGACGTTTGTCATAAGCGGCAGTTTCTAAATATTTGAACAGGTATTGCTTCAAGGCATCAGAACACTCAAAGTAAGCAGCAACTATAGAAAACAGGCGCCATCCACGTTGACAACTGTCTCTGAAACGTAAATAATGAGATTTCAAAAATAAATAATGACATACATGAATATGAAGTATAAGTACTAGTTAAAGAATCATAATTTGACAGGATTCAACGCCAAGACCTTTTTTGAATTTCAGCGCTCATGCTACTTTAATAAGGAAATGGCTAATTCAAGAAAATTGTGAATCCATTTCAATGCTTAAAAGAACGAAAAAAATCTTTAATGGGAGAATATTAATTTTCCATTTTTTTTAAAAATATGTATACATAGATATTTAATGATATTACTTATTTGAGGGCTCTGCCATCATATGAAATAGAATAAAATTTATTTTGTCATGCGAATTTTTAGGCACTAAAAATTTTTTTTAGGAAAGAGCTTCGAATAATACCCATTTTAACTATACATATATTTGTTTCCCATGTAATAAATGTACTTAATTTTTTTTAAAGAATCATTACAAAAATGCATTAACAATAAAAATTTAGGCACTACAACTTTATTTATTTTTTTTTTTTTTTAGGAAAGAGCTTCGAATAATACCCATTTTAATCATGCATATATTTGTTTCCCATGTAATAAATGTACTTAATTTAAAAAAAAAAAAAGAATCATTACAAAAATGCAGCTTTCACTATACTAAGATACGTGGTTACAACAATAAAAAAGCTACATTAGATACAGGTACGTGCCTGAGTACTGATTGCTGCGTACTTTGAAAGTGGCAAAAAAATTATTTAAAAATGTATGCGCTATTATTTCAAAAATGGAAACTACATAAAAGTATTAACTTATTAGCAAAATATAATTTGACTTATTAATACTTAGTGCCATTGGGGATAAAATGTACCGATATTTCGAACAAATAGCTTTGCCACATTAAAATAACTAAAATAAATTTATTTTGAAAAATACATATTTCTTACAGAAAAAAAATTATCTACAAGTATTAATAGATCTTGCTACAGAGGTACAAAATAACAGATTGTCCGTGTGAAACTTACTAATACAATAATTTGCACAAAGAACCATTACAAAATAAATTATTACATAAAAATTACCCCTTATAAAAATCATTTAGAAAATTAAAACGATAAAAAATAGACAACTTACGGTTTAGGACTTTTATTGTTTGTAGTTTGCTTCATAAGTTGACAATATACTTCATCCCTAAGTTGAGGATATTTATGGCAAGTCTGTTAAAAAACAAAATAAAATTTATGAATAAAACATTATAAATATAAAGCAAATTGATTATACTTCATTATGAAATCTATACATAAGTTTCAAGTCAAATAAAGCATTGTTAGAAATATCAATTTCAAAAAATGAGGTAAATACAGTAGTTTTTCGATTAGATTAAATTTTCTCCCGCTTTTACAACATGATATTTGTTTGAATAAATGTACAACTTCAGATACTTCAATAATACAAATCAGTAGAATATTAGTAATTAATAGAGTACTTACAACTAATATTGTATACACACAGTCGACTTCTGATTGATTTTTCGTCATAGGATAATCTCCCATATACCTCATAATAGCTACAGAAAAATAAAAATCATTAAGAACTTTAATATGCAAAATAGTGTAATAAAAGAAATATGTTTGTGAATTTTTTCCTCCATTTTTGGAGATACAATAGCCGTGAATAATTAAATAACTTAACTGAGTAAAGTTAATAAAATATCGTATTTTACTTACCGATAAAACATTCTAAAGCTAACTTGTTAAGCTCAGGTGCTTCAAATTTAAGCAAAGAAGCCATTAAAGGAGACTAAAAAAAATAAAGAAACTCTAATTGATAGTAAAGAGCAGATTACATAAACTTTTTCATGGTACAAAAAATTACATTTTAATATTCAAAGTGGCACATAAATATCACTGGATAATTTTTTTTGTTGTTGCTTTTTTTTCATGAGATTTTTTTTTTAAACGTATCTTACATACTTTCATAACGTCGATTTCAAATCTGTGATCGGTTTCTTGCTCCAAGTTACAATTTTTTCTAAAATGACATTTTTAGGAAATATACAATTTTAAAAAAGTTGTATATATCGGGAGATCACACCGATGTTGCGACACGCTTCTGGGGAAGTTGAGGCATATGATCTGGATTACAATTAGAACCCAATGCCCGAAAATATAGTCATACGCCACTAGGGGAGCTTCCTCTATTATGAACTGTTTCTTCGTACGCTTCCAAACAAGTCATAATAGGTGAAGCGCCCTTAGCCGCGAACGACGACCTTTCGGATAATGGGTTCCTGATGATGTCCCCTAACTCATCTAGAAGTTTGTCACAATATCTATGTGACCCTCTGTTATTTATAACTTTCTTAATCTTGTACATTTCAATTAAAAAATAGACAAACAATGCCATTTTTTTTTTAAAAAAAAATCTGTAGTTTTGGAAGTAAAACTAATTTCAGATTTGAAATTTCCACACCCGAATTTGGCAAGATCAAATATTTGTAAAAATGCAACAAAAATGCGTTCCCCAGTCTAACATGTAGGCATTATGTGCGAGTATAATCATACATCATAGTAGTAGTTCATTTACGTCGCACTAGAGCTGCATAATGGGCTATTGGCGACGGTCTGGGAAACATCCCTGAGGATGATCCGAAGACATGCCATCACAAATTTGATCCTCTGCAGAGGGGATCATACATCACACACATATGGTTAAAATCATTTATATATTGGTATAATTCTGTATGGACGCATACATTAATATAAAAATGGACGCAACTTACCTTAGTATATTTAACCATATCTGCAAGCTCTTTCCACGTCCAATCTGATGTGTCTTTATCTTTTTTTCCCTTTTTCTTTTTGGTTTTTAAGCTCTCTATTAGTTTGATGGAACCTCTTATAGAACCATCACGCGTCCGTAACATTTCATATCTGCAAGGAAAATTATTTAAATTAAGATTATTATTTTTAATTAATTTAGGATTATTGGGAAACGATACTTGAAAATAATAATTTATGTTATCAAACTAGTGTCGTTATCCGTAGTGCTTCGTAGCAATGCTTTATCGTGTGCGTAGTTAAAGAAAAAATAATTATTCTCAATAACTTTTGATTTTATGATAGGATTTACAGTGAAGTTTCTCCTAAAATCTCAACTAATTTGATTGACACTATTTTCTGCTCTTTATTCATTTCATTCTTCCGTCGATTTTTTTTTTAAACTTCTTTTTACTGAGTGATTGAATTGTTCTCTCTCCTTTTTTGCAGATTTTTATAAAAATCTGCTCATCTGAATTAATAGAGCTATGGGTAATATACTCGTTCTTTTTATTTATTTTCTCCAAACTTGATTTTCATAAAAATGTGTATTCGGACAAAATAGCGTTGTCAGAATATTAAGGGGCAAAATTTTGCGTATAAAAAATATCACGAGGACAAAATATCGCTGTTAAATTCCAAAATAAGTACTTACCAGTGTATATATTTCTCGAACACGGCGACAAAGAAAGTCCTCATTTTCCCGTTGGCAAGAAAGAATTAAAATATCAAGCGTGTGAGTTGACATAAGCTTAAAAGCTCATGACGGCTCACATGGTGTCATACGCTTTATCGCTGTAAATATGTACGTCACAGATAGGCGTGCACATAGATTTATTTTAGTACAGATACTATATTAGTGCAGATTTATTAGAAGGTGGGCTAATAATTCTTCACCTGATTTTATTTACCACTATCTCGTTTGACTCATTTATTGACCACTAGCTCATTACCTCGCATACTCAAAACTTATGTGGATTAGGTATGTCAACAGAAAAGTGTTACAAAAGCAATTTTGTTGCATTAAACATACCCATATTAATGAGACTACTTTATGTAGTTTTTTCTTATTAATATCGTTTGTTGACCCCTGAAAATGTCACTTATCTGCTTCATCAAGCTCTTCATTTATGTAAGCAAAGTTTTTTTGATTGAAAATTTTTTTTCTGACTTTAATTCTGAAGTTATCAACAAATATCATGAGTGTGAAAATAGCTTCCCACCGACATTTAAAAGTTATTTAATTCGCTGGGAAATATCCTTCCCACGATTTTATAAAGAATTAATTTATCTACTAACAGCACCACGCTATTGCTGCAAATGTCGATTACTTCGATAACGTATAAATTAAGATTTTCTGTAGCACCAAGCATTGACGAAATTCGCAAATAATTTCAAATTTTGGCGAGAAGAAATTACCTAGTTCCTAGACAGAAAAGGTTTATTTTTATTTTCTGCCATTTTTCTTTAATATTTTATATCGTTTGTTAATTTTTAGAAAATTAGTATCTTCAATAGGAATTAAAACATTGAATTGTATTATCAACTTTTTGATAATAGCCATCGTAATTATCAGTCAAATAACAATTTAAATTAGGTGACATTTTTTCGAATTAAACTTCAGTTTTATAAATTATTTTCTTAAAATTGAATGGATTAATTAGTTGAATTAAAAATGCAACAATAATTAACAGTTACAATGCAATTTTTTTAACAAGAAGAGATTCTGTTTTGATGTATAAGAAATTTGCTTGCAAATTAATTATACATACTCTTTTTTATGAACTAAAATTGTTTTTTATGAACTGAAAGTTTTTTTAGGTACCAAAATGATTTTTTTAATTTTTTTTTTAATCAAAACCGAAATGGTTTTTAATCAACCAAAATGGTTTTCGCTGTACTAAAACGGTTTTTAAGGAATAAATAAATGGTAGAAACACATCACAAATGCCTCATTATGTATTTGGTTGTATAAAAAAATGTCACAAGAAAAATTTTATATACTTCGTTTTAGGCAATAATAAACCTTGTAATATCCTCGAAACTAGAATTAATTCAACAAATTCTAAAACTAACCAATATAAAAACAAACTGCATTTATAAACTTGTTTCCAAATTCCTTTCTTATTAACACCGACAAAACATCGGTATTTTGATCAATAAATATAATGAATATCAGTACAATTAAAGTAATTAAGTACTTGATGAGTTATAATTTTCACAATCAATATTTTCGTAAAAAAAAAAACTTTCTTGAAAATTTTAAAAATAAAATTATTTTCTGTAAAAAAAAATGAGTGATTTATTTTTAAAAAAATGCTCTTATTGCATTATTTCAAATTTTTATTTCAATTATTCACGAAATTGTGCTAATTCAATTCAAAGACAGAAAATTCTGTAAATTTACACAAAGTGGAAAAATGATTTCCAAAACAATTTAATTCAGCAGACAATTTCAAAACAGCATATCTTACACAAAATAAAAAATAAAAAATGCTAATAATAATAAAAGCAATTTCAAGTAACTTTTACCTTAATAAAAAGCGAGATGAAATCTTTTTTTCAGAAAGTAAAAAAACAGATATTTTATTATGTTAAACACAGTATGTAATTTACAACGCAATTTATTATTGCAAATGTTTATAGCAATGTCAGAGAAATTCGAGAAAATTAATGTCAATTGTAATTTGTTTTATATTGATTTATTGAGTAAATAACCGAAAAAAATTTAATTATGAGTATTAATAATTAATTTGTTATAAAAAAATATTACTTAAATTTTCGTTTTATTTTATAAAAGGAAATTAAATCAAGTATGTTTTGTAAATACAGTAAAAAAATAAAAACATAACATGTCAGCTTTTTGACCTATCTAAGTAATAAAATAAAGCAATAAAAATATTTTGCAATATGATTTAAAAAATAACACCTACTTAGGAGTGAAATATCCTTTTTTTCTAAACCAAGAAATTACAGTCCACATTTTTCCTTAATCCTAACATTTAAACATAATCTGCGCCAACGCACTACGCAATTCTGTGGAATACAGTTCATTTGCGATAATTTTGCGTGCTAATAATTTTAAATGACACCATTGACAGCCGGTTTGAATGAAAATATGAGGAAGGAAATGTAGAAAAAAATAATTACGAAGAAAGTTTACTTACTTGTCTAAGCTTTCTCTGAAGTTGAACAAGGCAAATTGCAGAAGTGATTTGGCGTCATTGGCTGGCTGTGGCGATTGATTGACCTCATGCCGTCCTTCGCCAACATCAAAGTTGTCCTGTTCCAGAAAAAGTAGGAAAAGAAGATTATTGTGATTGAAATCGAATGAAAAAGGATTAAAGCAAGCGTAACGGAATAATTACTGAATGTGCGCTTTTATGCTTTTGCGGAATTCGAAACACTATAACCGGTTTTGATGATCTTTTTCACATAAAGTAGTTAAAGATTAATCGCACTGGTTAAGAAATTCTTAATCCTACTGTGTTAACCTCATTGTTAGATCCTTCTGCAATTTTTAGATTATTCCCAAATAGATTTAATTAACATAATAGATTTAAGATAATTTTTTTTTACAAACCGCAAATTCTCTTAAATTTATAATTGCCTAGTATTTTTACAAAAGAAATTTCTATTTTCTGTATTGTTTCGAACAATATTTGCCTCATCTGTTCCCAATCTGGGATGACATTAAACTTTTCTTAACTGCAAGACAAGTAAGAGTGTTTGGGTGTATAATTTTCTTTTTTTTTTGAATTTCATCCTTCTTTACTAATAAAAAATCTTACGTTACATTTACTTAACGTTACTTACGTTACATTTACAACTTAACGTTACATTTTGTTTTGCTGCGCAAAAGCTGTAAGAATTTTGAACTTGAATTACGAAGGTGTGTAAAAAACGTACAAGGAGATCGAAGGACTGTCTTCGGCATTTAACTAAACGTTACATTTTGTTTCGCTGCGCAAAAGCTGTAAGAATTTCGAACTTGAAATTACGAAGGTGTGAAAAAAATGTACGAGGTGATCGAAGGAACAAAAAAAAAATGAATAATCCATAATTAGTTTATTAACTGCTAAACTTGTTGAAAAAAATACCATATAGACCGCTCTACAGGCGGCAGGAATTTAACTAAAGAATGGAAATTCGACATGCCGGAAGGACATTTTTGCTTATGAACTTAAAGTGAGAGTTTTCTGAAATTCAAATTTGCACGAAAGTTATTGCTTTGAAAGTAGTGCTTTTCTTTTCCAAATTTTTCCAGCTTTTTTGATTCACGTTACATTTTGTTTTACTGCGTACAATCTATAAAACATGGAAACCGTGTAAAAAATGTGCACGGAATTCGATGGAATATAAAGATTCCAAATTCGATTATTGGTTAGAGAACTCTTAACTGTTAAGAATGAAAAAAAAATATGTTTGGCGATCTACCGAGATACAACCATTGAGTTGAAATTTTAAATACTGAAAGGACCATTTTTAATTAGAAACTTAAAGCAAGTTTTCTTTTCATAATTTAATTTTTGTGAAAATTGTTGTGATTATACCAAAGAGTAGTCAAATGAATTTTAAGAAAAACAGCGCATCGTTTTTTCTATGAACTTTTCACTGTAGAATTTTTTTCCATATCTGAATAAATCCCTTTTTTGTTTTTCAATGTCTATTTAAACGATTTTAATTGCTTGAAAAATGCCAAACGATATTTTAATTAAAACATACAGTATATCAATTTTAAAAATATAACATACATGCAACTATACATTTTTATTTTTAGATTCCTCGTCAAAAACGAGTTAATTATAGGTAACATGCGAGTAGATATCAAATATTTAAAACATAGAAAACACAAAGAATTAAATAGCAAATATAGTATTTAAAAATATTTCATTGACAAGAAAAAGTCAATCCGAAGTTGAAGTTAGATTTAACCCAATCAAAACTGTCGTAAATATTGAAATCCATCAATAATAATCGTTTTACTTTTCTCAATTTTTCGAACCAATAAAAAATCAGCAAATAAGCTTTTCCATTTAATTTGAATGGATAAGATTGAATATCGAAAACGATTATTCTGCACAAAACTCAAACGATATTATCTGTTCAAAATTATGTAATATTATAAATATGAAGTTAAAACTTCAAGAAAAATAAAAGTACAAAGAAGGAAAGAGGACAAGAAGTAATTCCGATATTAGTTCTCAACTTTTATTTGTAATGAATTAAATTTGCCAGAATAAATCCAATCTGCTGAATAAATGAATTTTATATGTTCTTAAATCTTATCTTATTAGATTTTATTGCAGCGCCAGAACAATCTAAGCCGATAATAAGAACAACAAAACATGAAAATTTGACAGGGATTAGTCAAAGGAAATAAAGCCATAAATGCTAATAATGAGAACTTTCAATATTTTATTTAGTTGACAGAAAAATGATTGTTTATGTACACTTAACATTAACCAATTTACATCAATTAATTTTCTAACAAGGGAAAAAGCATGCAACGAAATTGAGCAGTATAAATCAAGCGGAACAGTAACTCCTCGGCGTATGATTTAAGTTATGGTAAATATGCCAGAACTAGGATGTTAAGGGAAAGTTAAATGAACAATAAGTTGAGGAAATGTAACTTATTGTTCTTGATGTGATACTTCTTTCACGGAAGTATATCGGTACAATAAAATTAGGTGTTTGTTTTATTTTCATACAGAAATCAAACAAATATAAATTATTTATAAAAGATATGTTATTGTATATCCATTGATAAATCGATTTTATCGAATTATCAAAGGATAATCGATAAGATCGAATCGATAAGGATAATGGATAAGATCGAAAATCGATTCTTATATTTTAAAGTATCCGACAGGGTGAAAATCGGCAATTGGGTACTTGCACTTCAAGAAGAAGATCAGGAATACTCACACATGTGACCCAGAACGTTAGCGCCTGCTAATATTTTTTAAAATATCCGTCCTTCAACATCAGACCCAATTTTGGGTTTACGACTGCTAATGTTCAACTCCATAGCCTTGCAATTTTGAACCAATCCAGAAGACAAGGAAATAAACTTTTTTTTTATGCAGGCTGCCTTAGTTTTTAAATTTTTTGACACATAATTTAATGAAAATTATAGTTAAATCGTCAATTTTTTTTCTACGTTTGTTATTTAATTTAATAAATACTGAAATAATACTGGAAACTTTCAAAGTCAAACTCTGATTCGACTTGAAAAATAACTAAGATTTAGAAAATGCCCCCCTTTTTTTTAATAGTAATACAACTTCTATTGTAATAAATGAATTATATGGGTTACAATTGATAATTACATGGGCTATTTTCAACTAATTTTCAAATATTTATATTGCTTATAAACGGCGCAATATTACTTTAAGCTTTTGAATGCTTCTGTCAGAATTTTTAAGATTTTATTCATTTTTCAAATAGTGCATGGATAAAAATGTATTTTTAAACAAAATGACATATATTTGAGAAACTCATCGTTGATGCTAAATTTGATATGCTGCAGAACTAAACTAATTACTGTGTGTTAAAAGTAACTACTGTGTTATTTTCTTTCGTGTGAAAAATATTTTTTTTAATATTATGATAAAGATAATAGAATGAAGTAACAATGTTTCATTACTTTTTCTGAACGATTGTTTAGAACAACAGTTAAACATTGCTAAATTTTAAGTTCTTTCAAACAATTAAAATATCTACGTCACTTTTGTCATTGTTTTATTTTAGTCCAGGATATTTGTTTATTAAAATTTTAAAGCAGCTTTTAAAAATTTAGCAGTAAGATTAAAAAAAAAACAATTTAGGACATAGATACTTTTTGTCAATGCTGTAAAAAAATTATAAAAATGTCAGATACAATTAAATCAGCCACATCATATCTCAAACTTAAAGGTTACGAAAGTCAGGATGTATTAGGAAAGGGAACTTATGGCTTGGTTTATAAAGTAGTTAGCGCTGACCGAGTCATTAAAGCAGCAAAGATAGTTGAAAACAGGTATTTTAATTTTATTTCTATTAAATAAATAATTTTTTAAGGCTTAAATAGTTAAGTGCTTAGAGTACTATTTTTTTTAGTCAAATAAAAATCAAACTCTTGGGTGCTTTAGAAAAAAAATGAATTAAAAAGAGAGGGGATGGATTAGTTACGTTGATTGTATATGACAACAAACGTGTACAGAGTTACATATCAACAAAGTTAAAAAAGATAGGATGTCTTAGTTACCGTTGCTTGTATGCGAAGACAAACAAGTTACATATCGACAAATTTAATAAAGATATAGGATGTCTTAGTTCCCGTTGCTTGTATAGGAAGACAAACTTGTACAGTGTTACATATCAACTAATTTAAAAGATATGGGATTAGTTACATTGCTTTCATATGAAAACAAACGCGTACAGTGTTACTTATCAACTAATTCAAAAGCTATGAGGTGATTTAGTCATGTTCCTTTCATATGAAAACAAACGCGTACAGTGTTACTTATCAACTCATTTGAAAGCTATGAGGTGGATTCGTTATGTTCCTTTCACATGAAAACAAACGTGTACAGTGTAACATATCAACTAATTTAAAAGCTATGAGGTGGATTCGTTATGTTCCTGAAAACAAACGTGTACAGTGTTACTTGTCAACTAATTTAAAAGCTATGAGGTGGATTAGTTATGTTCCTTTCATATGAAAACAAACGTGTACAGTGTTACTTGTCAACTAATTTAAAAGCTATGAGGTGGATTCGTTATGTTCCTTTCATATGAAAACAAACGTGTACAGTGTTACTTGTCAACTAATTTAAAAGCTATGAGGTGGATTCGTTATGTTCCTTTCATATGAAAACAAACGTGTACAGTGTTACTTGTCAACTAATTTAAAAGCTATGAGGTGGATTCGTTATGTTCCTTTCATATGAAAACAAACGTGTACAGTGTTACTTGTCAACTAATTTAAAAGCTATGAGGTGGATTCGTTATGTTCCTTTCATATGAAAACAAACGTGTACAGTGTTACTTGTCAACTAATTTAAAAGCTATGAGGTGGATTCGTTATGTTCCTTTCATATGAAAACAAACGTGTACAGTGTTACTTGTCAACTAATTNCTCCCATACTCGGTCACATGTATTAGGGCTGGCATTCACAACTTAAACCTTCACTTTCTGAAGTGAATCACACATTATTCATATCCCGACTCTCTCGGAATAGATTCATCAAAAAATCAAAATAATATCTTTTCTAAATACAAAATTTGTGGAAATAA